CAGTGTTGTCATTGCACACCTCTACCCAAGACTGGAGTTGAGAAGCACTGCCCTCACTGATTTATCACATAGCAGGCATACCACTTTCATAAAATGGAATTCATGCAATAAAGGACAGGCCACTGTGTTTAGTTGTTTAGTACGGACGTTTTAAAATCTTTTTCTCAAGTGTAAGAATGAAAATATGACCTAGTCTACTCAAACCTTTTATAGTTCATACATAATATTTGATGTTTGCGAGGTAATGATGATTTTATGATTAGGCTACATTCGTTGTAAACATGTGGATGCTAGATATAGTTTAGCACTTTATGTTTTGTGTGGTATAATTTTGCATGATTCTGTAGTATTTACCAGTTCATTTTAAAGAACCTTTTGCAGTAAGCCCTGTGCTGTTTAAAACCTCAAAGCTGGTTCATTTTGTGTGCATTAGAAATTGATTTTAGGCGGCTTGAGAAACTGTGTTGAAGTGTTGCTGACTTAAGCGCTTTAGTGCAACTGAAACTTTGGTGGGGGATGGAGTGTGTGTGTGTGTGTGTGTGTGTGTGTGTGTGTGTGTGTGGCTCATGCAAAGCTTCTCTCTGGCATATAGATGTCAGATGAAGATTCCCAGCTCTGAATATTTATCCACTTCAGAAAAGGGCAAAAAGTCACAAACGAGGAGAGTTGTTGGTGTGTGATTCATTGGGCTTACTTAAACCTTTGTCTTTGTATAGCAGAGTGTGTAGTTGGGGATTAACCTCAGGACATATTAATATACAAGGTAATGATTTGATTAGGACTGTCATGATTTGAGTTGGCAATATGTATGATGATCGTAAGTTTCAAATGCTCTCTCTTGCATTAAGATGAAGTCTGATAGGCACACTCATTTATATGTTATATATTTTTGTTGCATAATGTTTTGCTTTTACTGTTTACTGTCTTCTTGGTCTCAGCCTCAGATGCTCAGCCCACAAAGGTACATGAATTAGTATGTGATATATATTGCATGTTAAGCTGACCACAGCTGTTGAGGTTTTGTCAGTTGCATTCAACGTGTGTACATGCGTCTGTGCATCTGTCTGGCGGGAAACATGTTTTTGATGTTGTGACCTAAGCTTTTGGGTGCAACTTAGTAGTAACTTAAAAGAGTTTGTGAAGTTTACGCCATCTTTAAAAGTTGTTGCATTTTCTCAGAGGCCTTTAGGAGCTAGTAAATTAGATATACGTGTGTATTTTGACACGTACCACTTTATTTCCTGTGGGCGAGTTGGTTGTAGCATTGTTTTAAAAATTGCCAACGGTTTGTGGCTGGTTAGTTTGCATGTCAGTCAAATGATCATTTTCTGTCGAATTAGACTGTTCTTGGTCACAGTAAGTGACAAAATGCACCAGGCTCTGATGATAGACAGAAGTCTGACTTATGAGACTACTTTCTGTTCTAACCTAAAGCAGATTGACTTGATATCAGGGGGGGTTTGCTGATGTGCAAAAATAGATGTAAACAAAGTTTATTTAAAGACTTAAAGAATGTTTATCATTCTAGAGAAGAAGTAGAAAAAGAATTAAAAAATTACAGCTAAGTAACATCATAAATGTGGATGTGTAGTGAAACGTTAGCAGCAGACTACATTGAGGCCAATTTTTATTATTGTAATGGAATGTCGTCTGTTGCCTGCTTACAATGAACACGATGCAAAGTTTTTCTTTGAAGATATTTTTTTGAACATTTAACTAAAAAGACATGGTAAATGCATCTTAGATGTTAATGAACAGTTAAGAGAGCTGAACTGGGCTAGACTTCATGACTAAATGGTGACCTCAAGGTAGTTTGTGCAGGGCTGCAGTTGTGACATGTTGGTCTCCTTTTAAAAAAAAAGAAAATCCTAATCATCTGATTCTTAGCATTCGTCACACTCAGCAGTCTTTTAAAGTGGAAAGTTACTGGGAAGTTACTGTTGCTTTGGCTGTATGCAGACAGCAGGCTGTAATCTCGAAATAATATTTGTTTTTCTTCTTGACTTTATCACATTGTTGTGATTACACAAGCTGCCGGCTGCTTCTTTGTGTAATACCCAAGTCATAATTGAAAAGATCTGGTCGGTGTGATTTTATTTGCTGTTTGAATATTAGTGAAAAGACTAGATACATATTGATGCATGAGCAAAAATGAGACTTGACGACTTGACTGCTTGCCTGCAGTGCTCTCAATGCTAGTCTACAGTACCTTGAAAAAGTGTTTGACCATCTAAGAAAAGCAAAGCTATTTCTGGCAGTAAATGTTCATTTCCCTGAAAAAACTGACAGTGTGTTGGCTTAACCATTTCTAAACCTGTCCTAAAGGAAGCCCTGTATTTGTACTTATGATCTGATAACTAGTAAATCTAGTCAAATGTCCTGCTGATGGAATTAATCAAATCTATGCACTGGCTGGAGTGCACCAAGAATGAACCAAACTTCTGTCTGTTTTCTTCTAAAACAGTATGATATTAATAACCTTTTTGAAAACTAAAAAGCTTTTATTTTGTGCTTTTATTCAATTATTGAATATTGTTTTACTGGCAAAAATACACTTACAAGAAATACACTACCTAGATAAATAAATCAATTTTCATGACTTGCCTCAAATATTTGCACAGTACTGTGTATGTACAAAGAAATGACATTTAACTGACAAAGGAACAACAAAGGATAGTGTTTATTAGGAAAATGAAAGAGACTGTTTCAACTTGATATGTCAAGAAATTGTTGAATGTTGATTAAATGATTCATAATCAAAATTAAGGATGATGGTGTAATTTTTTTTTTGCCTCCTCAGGCCTAATACTTCTGAGAACTTTTTATTTCAATGTGTGGACACACAAAGACTGTTGAGTTGTACAAGTGTAGAGCTTAGCATGACCTGTCTCTCCCACTATAAACTTCACTAGAGTTACACCACTCAGCTGTCTAATAATAGCGTTAGGAGTTCAGTGATATGGTGCTGAATTTGAAAACTGAGTAGCTTGGAGAGGCCTTGCTTTTGTTCAATTTCTAAATTTCTAAATGCACTGTAACTTTCATTAGAAAAATGAAAGTATACTGAGGCAGATAAAGCTGTCAAACTGATTGTGTGATTAGCTGGTTTATCAAACTAAAGAAACAAAAACTAACCTTTTACCTACTGACCAAAGGATTATTTTTCTGTGTCATTTCCATTTTCCTCTATATGTGGGCATTACGTGGAATTTATTTGGAAGGGCTAAAAAAAAAGCAAATTTGAATCAGTTGACTATTTTGTGGATGATCAAATACCAAGATAAATATGAGAAACCAGAGTCATTAACTAAAGGGGTTGTTTGAAATAGTAGTGAAGGTACTTGGTGCATTGTTATTTATTTATTTTTTTTTAATTTTTTTTTATAGACAATTATTAAACTTACGTATGTTACCTGCTTAGACTGTGTAAGATGACTGCAGACTTGGTCAGTGTGGCCTGATGTTATTGAGCTGATCATATTTAGAGTTTGGTGCTTTTTTATAAGTCTGTCTGTTATGTCTTATGTCTGTCTATTACCTGGCCAGTGAGATCAACAAGTCTCTTGTTCATTTAAAAGCTCAGTAAGCTTTCCCTTTTCCTTTTTTTTTTTTCCTAGTGAAATGGAAAGTGAATAATGATTTTAGTAGAGTTCTTTTAGACTAATCACAGTGAAAATCTTAAATTGTAACAATTATAGTGCACTAAAATTGAAACATTTTAGACTTTCCAGATGTTGAATATAATAATAGAGGTAAGCTCTACATACAGTATTTTTTTGTTTGTTTCTGTTTCTTCCCTTTCTTAACAGCAGTATGCTAATTACTTTTGCCTGGGTATAACTACATACACTGAACCTTTTTTTACAGCACATAGAAAGCCTAATGTGACTTCTCCTGCATCCTTTCATTACACTGAAAGCCTGTCAAACATATCATTGTAGTGCCATAAATGTACTGTGTACATTATCATGATAAATGATGTCACGATATGCATTTCTGAGCATATTGTGGATATCATCAGTACTTAAAAACATTGCACAAGTGAATGTTTCATTACAAAGAGAGCATAATTAGTCATGTTTTCATTGGACATTGTGTAATGATTTAGCTGTTAAGATTCATTGCATTCATTCACACTAACAGTTACTTAATCCTAAATAGGTTACTCTGTATCGGACTCCATATTGGCGAGTACTAAAAAATATGTACTTGTACTCGGACTGCAAAAATAGTATTGATGCAGGCCTAATGCCCACCCCTACTGTAGACTTTTATTCTATTGGCCTGCTTGACTGAGTTAAGCATATTGTCATAGGTGAATGTCAAATAAGTGCAAAAGGGATTCATACCAAACATGATGTGCAGTGCAGGCTGTAAACCAAAACTCAGATGTGAGTCTCTTTTGGTTGGAATTTTTAAAAAAATCATACCAAAGGCAACACCCTTGCTAAATCTGATCACTGACTCACTTTACCTCTCACTTCTGTTCATCGAGACAGAAAAATACTTCTTTTTGCATTTGCTTGTTCAGTGACTTCAGTGCTGCTGTAAAAAGTCATATTTGTTTTTAAAATTTGGAGCTGAGGTACGAATGTGCTTTAACTGGTTTGGACTTTATGATTACTACATCCGTTTTGACCTTTTTGTGCTGTGGTGGCCTCCTGTAGTGTTACTTGGGTCTGAGGACCATTTTTAGTATCTCCAGGAAGTCTGCTAAAACCATATCTGTCCAAACAAAGCACTCTGTCACTATGTAATTACACTGTTCTGTACAGGTCAGATATCTCAAATGATGATGCATTGAGGTACACTCCGGCTGTAAAGGATGCCGAGATGGCTGTAATGACCCCCTCTTTCTTCAGGCCTTTGTGTTGTGTGATGAGTAATGGTGTCTGAATTTGATGCTCTCCCAGAGTGCCACTTAACACTCTTATCAGTCTGTATGGCATTGTATTCTGATACCCAAACCTCATGGGAATATGTTCTTTGTCTGTCTACAGCTTTCATCCAGTCAAACAAAATCTTGGAGGTACTACATTTTGGGGATGGAGGTCTCTTGCAGGTAAGCCTTGGGTAGACACATTTTCACATTTGAAGTTCACAGGTGAAAGTCTCCAGGATGTTGCTCGAACAAAAGAAAAATTCAATTTTAACGATCTATGAATGAGCAAAGTTTGCTAATGTTGCATTTTTTTGCATACCAATTTCATTTGTCCTCTTCAAAGGAATGGTTTGGCAAAAAATCAGCTGTAAACCATTTCCGACTTAGGTGTAGATCAGTCATGAGGTTTTCTTCTTTAGATTAGCACTTGAGCTACAAGACTAATGTTGCTAACAACGATACACGTCAGTATTCACCCAGATAGGAATGCAATTTTTTTTTTGACCGTTAACCGACCTTTATTAGTCTGTGATTAATCATTGACTGACAAACACACTTTATTGAATACATAACCACAGCATAATGTAAAAAATATCACAGTAATGTAATGTTGTCTGCTTGCTTATGTTTACCACACATTATTAGCCCAAGGTAACGAACATATAGGACTTGACCGGGGATAGCTTGAAGTTCATCATTTAAACAGCAGTCCACATAAAACTGATAGCTTGCAGCTTACAAACTTTTTTTTTTTTACTACAGAGTCCAACCATTCGTTAACAAACACATTTGTTTGTATATAACTGTGAAAACTGATCAAAAATGAGCAAAATTTCTCTGTGCACTACAGTGCTGCGATAATCTGCTTTAGGCAACCAGTGTTGTGCCTAATTCTGACTCCTCTGCTGAATCTGACTCCCTGTCGCATGTGCACACGTCACAGGGACATAGGGACACTATATTACATTAGAGGTTTATTGTTTTTTTTTATACACATTTATCTTCAGTTAGAACATTGAAGATTAACAGTACATAAAATAAACAGTAAACAACAGAGGTCACAAGCATAGTCGGTGGCATCCATATTCCTGCATGTGTACACACAAATGGGAGTTGGAATTTAGCACAAGAAGGAAAAAAAAAATGGGCGGCTATTGGCTTTTTTGTAGTGTTTTGTAGTATTATTGTTATTACCAAACATCTTGGCTGATCGACTACATCTGGGGGGAAAAGTGGGAAAATTGTGTAAATTGTTGGGTTTTTTTCCAAACTATTCCTTTGATCTGTGCGTAAATAGGAGGAGCAAGAAAGATTTTTCTGTGCTACTGTTTTTCCAGTCAAAATCCCAAGAGCTATAGTTGAACAAGTATTCAAGCAATATATAGTCAAGTGTTGACAGACCGTTCCAAAACTCCAAGGGACTTTTCTGTTTATCTAGTGGCATGGCTTATGCGTATTGGTGAGGAGTGCTGAGCTCAATTGGCAAGCATCATTTGTTGACCCATCATGTGCATAATTTTTTTTTATTCTTCTCTCTCTCTCTCTCTCTCTCTCTCTCTCTCTCTCTCTCTCTCTCTCTCTCTCTCTCATTGTCATTGTCTCAAAGCTACATGCTCTACTTAAAAGTAGACCCTGATGGCTGCTTAAAGGAGCTTTTTTGGTAATGAGTGTGAAGAGCTTTCTTTCTAAAGGTTCTATACCAACTGAATTGTTTTTTTTTGTTGTTTTTTTTTATTTGGCCCCTTCTTCTAGAAGCGTATGCCCAAGCCCAAACCATTAAATGTCCAATTTGTCTCACTTCCACGTGTTTCTCTTTACAGGCAGAGTCTGACATTGACCTTAGCTCATATCATCAAAAAAGGTAAGAACTATTTTTTTTTCTTTTTTTTTTTCTTCTCTATTATCTGCATTCAGTTCAGCACATGGCTCACATTAGGTTGGCCATGCATTCATTGGGTTTTTAACAAAGCAGATGAGCTCAATATTCATACCAAACAAAAAGAAGCCATGTCTCAGTGAAACAGTAACATAGTAGTAAAACTGTAATAGTAAAACTTTATGCTCATTTATGAATCATAGGTTTCATTAACTCACAGTCCATGGTTTACTTTCTCATTTTGAATCATCACTACCTGATCATTTAAGTTACTTATTAATAGGCTTGTCATTCAGTTACCAAAAAGAATAAGTAAGGTCATTTTTCCTTTTTAGGATTGATTTAAAACTATCGTGTGTGTATATTCATAAGCATTTATTTGTTAAAAAAAATATTAGAACAAATACAAATAAATAAATAAATTGTCATGTGATCTCTGTTTGTGTGTAATTACTTAGCATAATTAATTTTAAACTTTTTTTTTCGAGAAAACTATTTGCAGTTTTATTTTCTATACCTGATTTGGCTAACCAGTTCTTGGTTTATATTAAATCAGTTGTGCTGCTGATGAAAAAGTGCTGGAGTGCACTGAGAAATTAGAACCAAACTTGTGTTCTTCTGTGTTCTTCTAACCAAGATGAAAAAAGCAAATGAAAAAATCGCAACTTTTAATGTATTTGTGTTTAGTTGTATTTATTCTAATGTTTACTGCTGAGATAAATAGTTTTTCTTCGTTGTTTTTGCACAGTATTCCTTTTGAGATGTAAGAATGCAGCAGAGCAGTGTGTTATCTCTTTGGAGGGAGCTGCCTTTTATGTAATTATTTCATGCTTGCTTTGGATTCCTCAATCCGGTAGAACAACTCCAGCATACTAGGCAACCGGTTCACTCGCTTAACCAATCAAAAGTGTCCAGCTCAGGGCATTGGCGGCCAGCTCTGATTGGTTAGGCTTGTATTCCTTGGTTTGTCATCTTTGCTGTTGGTTGAGATGAACACACCCTTAGGGAGGCCAACCTCAAGTAACATAATGCTCATGTTGTATTCATAGAGGTAAAATGAGGAATACCTCTAGCACCAAGACATTGTGTCGTATCCACGCTAAACCTGCGTTAATAAAGTGGTCTGTTTGATAATATGCAAAATCTGAAATATGTTACATGTTTATTCTACCAACATAACTTATCACACTCACAAAGACTTTTCTTTATAAGATTTTAAGATGTCACACTGTTTGTAATAGTTGCATGTACACTATCAGAGAACTATATTTTCTGAACTTTTAGCGTACTTGCTGAACTTTGTCTTCTGATAATAGAACTTTTATCGCAGGCAGTAATCCCTGTGTCTTTGTACCCTAGTGCCATGCACACGTGCACAATGACAGGTGCTTAGAGCTGCTTTTAAAAGGTTGCTTTCATTTTTAGCTCTTTTCCTCTTGCTGTGGTTTAGCAGTCACCTCACCAGCCAGGCTAACTCGTCCTCTATGCACACTGTATCTCTCTAATCGTGGATATCTACAAACGCAGTCAAAAACACCACATCTTCCCGTTCACCCTCTTTTAGTCTGTCAGTGGAAATGTGTAGAAAAAAGTATTTACCCTTCATATTCAAGGAAGAGATTTTCATTTGAGTTCTGCAAAAATAAATCACTATGGTTACGTTGACCACTTGCCTCTAAGTACCACCTTTTCCTCAAATTATTTTTGAATCAAAGAGAAAAATCCCCACCCACTGCAAGTTTTCATGCTTATTCGAAAAAAGATTTGTTCTCATGAAAACTCTTTCAGGGAGAAGGTAACACTATTAGAGCAACACTGTCACATAAATTAAATAAGAAGGTTATTAATTGTAGATTAAATGGCCAAAAAAAAAAGTGTATAGTTAAGATGGTGCTTTTTTCTTTGTAGGAACTTTAAGTAGTTAAACACAGAACAAAACAGTTAGGTGTGAACCTGCAACATAATGGTTCATAACCCAGCTCTCTGTGGCTCTGCTCAAATACACAGTGGTAAACTTATCCTCAAAGGACCTGTGGTAAGCTAAAGAGTTGAGGGCTGCACTGTCTTAGCCAAAATGTTTGGGCTGATAGTTTCACTCATTGAGAAATACCGAAAGCCAGAGAGACTGTGCCTTTAGCCAAGTTGGAGGACTTTGCCAGACTGGCAAATTACTAATGCATAACTTTGATTGCTCTGTTGTTGGTTTTGCATTGCCTGTATAGTTGAAATGCTTGCATTATTATATAAACGTCTCCACACAGCCTCTTGCTTAATAGACTCTAGGTCTCCTCTACCTTAGAACCTGTTGTACCCATGTAGCATTAACATGTATTTCCTGTCTGGATTGTATCTAGATATACTTTGGTCTGATGCCATTTACACCTTTCACTAAAATGCATCCCCAGTTTAACCAGATAAGATCAGATTTTACTTTTTCCGTGTAAAAAGCGAATCAACATGCGTGTCATCTCTCTTTTACTTTTAAGTCACAATATGATTCTCCTAATTTGACTGGGACATTTTCATCAGCCCAGAATGGAAGAAGGTCTTTCTGGATTTCTTGATAATTCCAGCCTCACGTGTCCTCCATCTTTCGTTTTTATTGGCCTCTTCTGCTAGTTAGCACTAAGCAGATGCACTTCCACTCAAATAGTTGTACACAGATATTGAAAAAATCATTGTTTTGAATTTGGTCAAGATCTGTTTCTCACCACCTATGAATGAGGTTCATGTGATCACATTGTCATTTGATCCCAATGTGTTTTGGTGGTATTTACGCTTGGCTTTTCATGTGGTCATCTAAAATCCCAAAAATTCTTGAGTTTTATATCTTCACCTGTATTTATTTTTAAAGAATATTTCACATTTTTATAATGGTTATGTGGTCTTGTGAACCACATACACAGGCTCTTTTTCATAGTGTGGCTTGAAGGCCTTTATATATATATATATATATATATATATATATATATATATATATATATATTGATCTCTGTGCTGATCGTACCTCATTCAAAAAGCATTCTGAGCTGATACTCTCTTCAAAACTTCGCTGTGAACGGGAGGAGCTGAACTACTATAGTCTGAATAGGTGGAGAAGTGTAAATGTGTTGATTATGGTGACATTTGCTGCATACGTGTACAGACTGTGCTGACTTTATAAACTAAAACAATGTTTAAAAAAAAAGTTCAGAAAGTGAGGAAAAGTTTGTTTTCTGTCATATAGGGACTTTAAATGTCATTCAGTTCCCCAGTTACTTCAGATTTTGTTTCCTAATCCTTTAGATTTGTATGGTTGAAAATTCAACTATATTGGTCAGACTTCAAGAGCCCAGCTCAGGTGGCTCTGTATTGTACATGAGACAGGTCTGTACCTCTGTTTCCTGCAACACTACTTTGATGTCCATGACTCCTGCATTGGGCCTTCTAGCCAGGGGTTCCTTTGATGTGGAATTTTCCCAATTGGCAAAAGTTGAAAAAAATTGTGGAAAATGGTATACTGTTCATGTTCAGGCTTTAAAACAGATGTGGCAGAGTATGCATTTTTAACCTCTACAGTTCTTACCGGTTTATGATTAATGTCTAAATTGTTGTTGCTGCAATAATCAAATGCAGTGTGTTTAGAAACTGAAATAATGACTGACACTCTTGATTACATTTGCAGTCGAGTAGCTATCAGTGTACAGATTTTGATGATTAATCAATAATGGTAGTTTTAAACAAAGGCAATGAACATGGGCTTAGCTGAACAATAGAAGCCATGCATAGACTTTCAAAGATTCCAGAATAATTTACTGAAAAGAGATAATCCAGGAAGCCTATAAAATTAAAAAAAATAACTCTTGGTGGAAGAAAAGTGTATATGTTCACTTTTTCACATTGTGAGACCAGTAGGAGAGTTTCAGATATGCATTATTATTAAGATTGACAACTAATCCTTGTTGTTTAATTGAGAAGGTTAATTAATAATTTGTAGTCAATGAAATGAGTGAGGAATTAAGTAATGTAATATAGTCATATAGTGGCTGTAACACTGAATAGTAGGGAATGAAACCTCAATGATTGTTTTATGTACTAACTCTAGACTCTAAATGTCTTTATAATCCGGTGTGAAGATGGATGTTTATGAAACAGTATGTTGTAGCTCATGGTAGCATACATGCACTTGGGTGTGGTGAGACGATTCTCTGAGTAAATCCTCTTTTGCTTGGCTCTGTTTGCCTGTGTTGCCGGTAAACATAATCTGATCGTGTAGGGAACGGCTGGTGTGGTGTGAGTGTTTCATGCTGTCAGACGAGTTTGGTGGGTTTAAGTTGTTGTTTTCCACCTGATGCTTCTGATGGAGAGACATCTTCGTCAGAGCTATGTGTACGAACAGTACTGTGCAAAAGGCAGCCAAAAAAACCCTTATCTTAGCAGCAAGTATGTTTGCCTTAAAAAAAAAAAAGCACAACAGAAGAAATACAATTAAAGTAAAACTGTAAAAAGTAAATAGAAAAAAAATATTGGTCAGTTCAACTGACAAAAAATATTTTTGTGATAATGTGCAGTTTTGTTTATTCAGTTTAGTTTATTAAACTAAAGTAAGTACTTATTATGAAACAATTCAAAGCAAATATATTTAGTTTAGATGAACAAAAGCAATATTTTACATCAATTCAAACCTCAGACACTTCAAATATAATCCTACCCTGGAGGCCTGTCACAATTGTTGCATAATCACCTGACTGCAATTATTTGAGATAATCGCTATTATTTAGTCTGACCACAGTTATTTTCTACAATTTATTAGATTTCACAGTCGTAACAAGTCCAAAGTGCTTTTTCATGTGTTTCAAGTGTTTTTCGGTTATATTTCACAGAATTAAGAGAAGCATGTAAGCTTTGGTTGACTTTGTGTAACACTAGAAACTTGCTCTGGACACTACATTGTAAAATCTCTAGTTAGTTGCTCAGGAAAGAGTTGGCTAAGCAAGACTAGCTAATAAGCCAGTTTAGCTTTTTAACAGTTAATTGTCTGCTAAAATTTCACGATTGTGACAGGCCTACTGCCCTCTTCCACTTTTTACAGTGTATGTTTGTTAGAAGGATACAGTTAGATAAATGCAAGTTTGGTGCCTCACTTGTCTGTATTCTCCAGCCATTGCATAAATGTGTTAAATTCCATTAGCAGCACATCTGATTTAATTTAATAAAGGATTGATAAGTAAAACTTTGCTGTAAACCCTGATGAATTTAGTTTACTCAAAGCCTGTTTACAAGACAGAGTGTAAATAATTATCATTTAAACCTTTGTGTTGGGATAACTTGAGTTTTTAGTTTGAAGTACTACATACATCGTCAAATTTGATTGTTTATAGCACTATATAAACTTTCACTTAAGTTTTATTTGTTTCATTAATTTTCATACTAATTCATTTTACATTATGACAAAGTGACTCTGCTTGTGTACACAAGATCAGAGGGGAAAATTTATCTTGCACTGAGAGTTTTCAGTTATACTAGCTTACTTATGCCAACATGTAAAAAGCCTGATGAGTTGGCACTAACTCATAGGTTGTTTCGTTACAACCATACAAACTGCTACTGAATAGAGACGCACAAAAGTATCATTGCCAGAATAACTAAAACATGTTAGGTGGTTCCAAACCTTTATGTTTATTAGCTGTTCCTTCTGAAGGGAGAGCTAATAAACAGAAATCAGTAAAACCACTAAGAACTCTATGGGGTGGGGATTCCCCAACTCTTTCACTTTTTTTCTTGTTTAAATTGTTGTTCTCACAGAAATAAGAATTTTAATTTAATCTAATGCTGTGTTTTTTATACAATAAATGCAAATAAATGCTTTGTAGGTAATTTTACAGCTCACTTTATAATATAAGCCTAAGACTTTTGCACAATACTGTATGTGTTTGTGTGTTAGAGGTCAGATATTTTTAACTCTTAATAGTCTATATCTGATGGTATGTGTTTGAGGAGAGCTCCTTGCATGCTTTGTGTTTATGATTGTGAACAAAATGCTTTAGGACAAAGGCATTAGTGGCATTACAGATATGAACAAACATGTATTGAATTTCATGACAAGTGCATGATTTTACAGCTGAAAAGAGCTCTGCAAAGATGCTCAGTGCCGACTTTTTCCATTTATATGAAAAATGCTAAAATAAATAACAACAAATACAATACATGGTTTATTGGCATAGGTGTGAATGTATTCTATGAATTACATGATGTAACTCAGGTCAGGTTTCAAGTTAAAAAGTGTGAGTTTTTGCTGTCTAAATTTGGGGAGAAATTTGGGGAGAAATTTGATCTGTTTGATTCTTTGATGTTTTTCCCTTCTGTAGTGCATCCTCACAGAGGGGGAATAGCAGACCTATACGCTTTGAGCCACCAATGCTGGACTTCCATGAACAGTAAGCAACATGCTCTTAGCGTTACTTACTCCCTATTTACCCCTGTGTTCTCCATGTCACTTGCCGAATGTCACATAAACTTCTGCCTCATTTTTCTGCGAGCGTCTTAGAGCAAAGCCATTTGTCAAGTTCTGCCAAAAGCCACTTCCTCATTTCTAACATGGCTTTTTCCATTCAACAGCTGAGGAATGTTTCGGTGGTGGTTAGTCTTTCTAATTCCTTGTTGTCATTCCATTAACTGACAAATGATTCCATGCTGAACATGAGTCTTTTAAGCTACTGATTCAGACCGTCAAACATTTTATGATGCTCTGTGTAGACGATAATTTGCAGTTGTTTGTCTATTTTCAAAGAGAAAGAAAAAAACTGGAAAAAGAAGAAAACATGCTGAAAGTTTGAAACTCTTGTTTGGTCCAAGTTCAGTCTGGCAATATAGTGTATATTTATGAATAGTAAATGTTTATAAATATGGGTGTTACCAGTGAGAAAGTTGGTAAATCATCTAATTAACATGGGCCCTACGTCGTTTTTCTTTTCTTTTTTCTGTTCTCATATCAGTGTGCTATAGGCAAATAATTAATAATATTGCAACATCAGTGCCAAAGTTCAGTGCATCAGTGCACCATTTATAGTTAATAATTATTTGTGCAGCACGTGATAAAAATATTGTTAACATAACTGCTCTGTATTTTTTCTGCAATTTGTTGATTGCCAGTAGATCCAGCTAAAAGATGCCAGTGAGAAATGTAAAACTTGCGAGATTTTAGTTGTTTTTGTACCAGTTTGGTTTAGACATATATAGTTGTATGCAAAAGTTTAAACACTTCTGGTAAACATGAAATTTTGGTAAACATGACGTTTTATTGATTTTCTGTGTGAAAGTAAGTTAAAACATCCTCTACGTATGAAATTTTGCACTTTGGCACAGGCCACAATTTGTTTAATATTTTTTTCCAATATGCTAAATCTCTCAATAAAGTCTTGCTTAAATTACCCAGACCCACCAAAAGTCTCAGGCTGTAATCTACCACTGATAGCATGTGCTGCCCAATATTGTCGATGGTGCTCTACTTTCATACTTTAGACTTTCTCTTTTTTGCTTTTGAGCTTATTCTTCTTATTTCTTTGGTGTTGCTCTTTCATTTTATTTCTAAAGCACAAGGGCCCAGAGTTTTCCCGTGGCACTGCTTTAGATACTGTGGTTCAGGCTAATAATAGACAGTTTATGGATGACCCCCTTTCAGACAAGTGTTGAATAATTGTATTTGGTTGTAGATTATATGATTTTAGCTTTATCCTTTATTTATTTCATAAATAAAACCCTTTATCAGTTGTTTGTATGTCTTTCTTCATGTAGGTAGTTATAAGGAAAACAAAAAAGCCTTGTCTGCATTATCAGTGACTAATTTGAACATATCCTGTCGCTTGGATAAATACAATTTGTTGTTTTTGTTTTTTTCCCCTCCAGGCCAGTTGGAATGCCAAAAATGGAAAAAGTTTACTTACACAATCCAAGTTCAGAAGAAATTAGTTTAATATCAATATCAGCAACAACAGCGCATTTTCATGCATCCTTTTTTCAGAGTAGGGTAAGTATATTCTCAGTGCTTTATGACCCTCTTAAAGTGCTAACAGTGTAGGCCACTGAATAGGAGAAGTTGTAAGACATGTGTTTTTGAAGTGTTAGGACAGATGGGTCAATGTTAACTTCCTGTTAAGGGCTTAAAAAAAAGAACAGAAGAAATTCTCTGCTTCCTCTTTGTTCTCTCCAACAATAACTTTGTCTGTCTGGGGGGAAAATATCATGTCTTGTGGTGATAATAGTGGATCACAGCGATGCTGAGATTTCACTCCTGAATCTTTATTTTTTAAGTTTGATATTTGAATAGTGCTGTTTCGGCAGATATTTACTTAGACATGTGCGGTTTAACCAGAGGGCAGTGAACTCATTAAAGCTGAAGGGTCTAATTTAAGTGTTATGTGTGACTGTGTGTGTAGAGTCTGGAGTGCGTGAGCACACACAGCAATAAATTAAACACATACCACCTGTTTCTGACACCTACATAAATTAAAGCTTCATGCTGACCTTCTCAGCCTCTTGTAGCTTACGTTTTACAGGGCCAGGGGTGAACCATGAACTCACCATGAACTCAGTCCAGTTCAGAAAGATTGAACAGAATCAACCAAAAAATGATGCCTTGCTTGGTTGTACCTCCTGTGACATTGTTACATGATAAGGATAAAAACTGAATTTATAATACATCTTGTAGGGGGGTAACAATACAGAGATAAGGAGTGGCAAAAATGTGCCATTTGGTAATAAATGTGTTTCAATTTTCAGTTCATTAAACTATTTTGCATTATAAAAGTACAATATTGAGACAAAACCTGTGCTTTATGGTGTCCCGATCTTATGCTCTATCCACAAGATAATGTGTTAGCCTCAGATTAACAGACTAGCCACAAGGTAACATGCTAACATGCAAGGTAACATGTCATGATGCAATACAAAATATGTTGTGTTGTTATATGCTTACTAAAATGGTAATTGCTTTTATAAAACGGTGGCCAAATAAAGTATGATACAAATACAGTTTTTCAGAAAATTGTTCGTTATTAATAATAATTGACATAATTATTCCGCAAATAAATGTAGTTGAGTGGCAACAAAACACTTTTGGAGCGGCACTGAAACAACTACATGCTTGACGACATGAATGTAATTCTTTTTTATCTCCCAGATGTATGTTCATATTTTCTGCTAAAGTGACTCAAAGTTTTAAGAAAAAAAAGTTTTACATTTATGTTTGTCTTATTCTGTGAGTTTATTGGCCGGTTGCAAACCAGAAATCTGATTACTGCTTGACTCACATCGACCTGGAATTTTCCCATTTTTTACCCAAGTGCATGTAAACACATTGAATGGATTTCCAAAAAGATCAGATTTTCTGCAGTAATTGGATTAAGTGCATGTAAGCGCACTGCTTGTAAGCAATTACCTTTCATTTGAGAGAGTCAGCTTTTATTTAATTTGCGTCTGAAATTGATATCAAAGTCTCGATTTATGTGAATTGTAACCGCTATGAGAGGTAAAGCACCTTCTACAAACAAGAAAGTGGCGGTCATCGGCGTCCGTCATGGTGCACTGTGAACCATTATAGAGCCAGTAGAACATAAATGATGGGCAGACTTTTTAGAATGGCCTCTGGTTCAAAATATTTGTTGGGTCTCAAAAGGAGATGTCTTCCAAATACACGCTGACTTTTTGACCTTTATATGGTAAGCAATACGTTTATTCAAAATCAGAATATCTAGAAACCTGTACAGTGTTTGGGCATGACTTGTGTTGCGTAGTTATTGTACTTAGTGAAAGAATTTTGCTGCACTTACGCCTGTGTTTTTGTCTCACAGTACACAAGTATCCACCCACATTTCATGTTAGAATCACAGTTTTCTCCAGCCAGACCCCACTACAAGGGTTTGGTTTCTGAACTTCCCACCTTCTACAAGTTTTGTGTTTAAAAGTGCACATGGCTTAAAGTTCTTCGGCACTGTGCCGGGATTTTGGTGCGAAGCCAGGCCATTTGAGTTTTAAAAATAGATAATTATAAAACAAATAGTTCTGGTCCTAAAATCTGTTCGTCTGAGCCGCATTTGAAGCCATTGTAAAATACTCAATATACGCACATCTATGGGTTTACAACCTTACAACAACTGCATTTTTTATTACTGCGCCATGTAATGAAAAATCCTTGTGCTGTTAATAGAATCTTTGAATAATCTTTGACTCTAATGCTGATTGCATTAACCACCGAGTGTACTGATGAAGTAAGAACCCGTTTTTGTTTGAACTGAAGGACTGACAAGTTGTTTTGCTTAACTACAGTTTGGCTGGTCAGCTAGCTAACAGGCTAAAACCTAGCAAACATGCTAAACAACTCCATTAACATTACAGGCTTGAATTAAAGTACTTACAATATGATTCACTGTAAAACAACAATATAAAGACTAAAGAATGTCAGTTGAATTGCTTACATGCTTCAAATGTCCGTGTTTGTCAGATCTGCCTTAAGTATCAGACCCAGGCTAAATCTCAAACGGCTCTGTCTTCCCTATATAGTGTGCCATGGAAGTTTTGAAATTCAGCCAGAAAGTCGACTTTTTGTCGAGTATGAATGTGGCTGAATCCCAAATGGTTATTTGTTGGCTATGTTATACATTGTTTGGGCGCAGGTCCAGTACTTAAATTACCACATAGTGCACTATGTAGGGCGAAGGGAGCCACATGCAGCCCCAGTTTGGGGTAAAAGGGTGTTATCTTGGTGCTAAATAAGACTTGAGGTGGTAATTTGGTGACCAAAAAGTACTTATAAAGTGAAGGTTTTTGCATTAAACAGTGCTATGTTATATGTTCATTAATATACGCAAAAAGTTTATAAGTTCATGAAATAACAGCAATATACATTAATGGGCGACCAGATGTTCCTCTACTCTGCTTCACGTCCTTCCTAAGAATCCCCTTCCCTGTGATACAATCTTAGTAACACATGGATTCTCGTGGTTTATTGCTTTATCTTGTCTATGAAAAATGTTTTTGCATACTTTTTACCTGTCACATAGAAAGAATATGGCTATATGTGTATGTATACAATCATAAAGAGCCTTGGCATTAATAAAGTAGACCTACTTTATTAATAAAAACCCATGTTTACACTGTGGCTCAGTCAAGTGTCAACTCCATAATGCATGTTACCTTGCATGTTACTTTGAAAAAGCACTGCAGTTAACAGGATGTTTGTTTTTTTTTTCATATCATCATTGCAATCTTTTTGACTAATTTGGCATTCGTTTGACAACAGTATGCAGCAAACTGCATACTGTTAAGAGACCACAGGAGGAACGACCAATGATGAGTTTGGATATTGGAAATTTTTATGTAGTAACAATGAAGTAGTAACAATGTATGTGCAGATGATGCCTCCATGATCAATTTCTGATTCAAAAGGAAGTGACACTTATAGTAACATCCATTTTTTTTTAGACTGTATGAACACCTGTGATTGTGTTGTCAAGTCAAATGTGTTCCTAAAAGAGGAAGTCATGAGTTATATTATATTCTGTATTACAAATGCACATCACGTACCAGACATTTATTGATTAGAAATATACATTGTATCGTTCTGTACAACCCTCTTAAATGATTATATTTCATGTAGTTTAGGAAATAATTAAGCACTCATTTAAGAAATATTTAAGAAAAAAATCACTAATAATTCAAGAAACAATAATTTACTCTAAATTCAACAAATAACACATAATAAGAAATAATTAAGTCTCATTTCTAGTTTAAATCCCTAGTGCAGACCCTCCCTGCTCTTTAATATTGCACTTTACCTCAAACTTGAGAGCTGAGAGGAGGTGCATGCTCCTCGAAAGTGTATATTAGCTCATGGCTAGCTTGTTGTTGTTGTTGTTGTTGTTGTTGTATATTGTACTTTTATAGCATGGAATACTTTATAATCTGAAAATGAAAATGTTAACATATTAACCTATGGCAGATTTTAAGACCCCCCCGGTTTTTTTTTCTTGTATCAGGAAATCTAACCTAACCATATTTCCAAGGTTGTTGTTAGCCAGCTCAAAATAGCTCTCACACAAGTACTTGTGATGCATTTCATGCCTCCAGAATGTCGCCAGAAGTTTTGTTTTAATGGTTCTTTTTGATATACAGGTCTTTTGTGGTGTGAGTATTGTGGTAAAACAAGGTCTAAAGCTGCTGCTCCCAAATAACTAGTTCAGTTTAGTCTTCAAACAGAAAGATCAAGTGGCATTTGTTTTTAAATTTACTAATTTAGATATACTACAGTATGACTGACTGTCTTGCTTGCTTTTGTTTTCCAGATAATTCCACCAGGAGGGAACACCTCATTTGATGTAGTGTTTCTTGCTCGAGTAGTAGGAAATGTAGAAAATACGTTATTTATTAACACATCTCATCATGGAGTGTTCACATACCAGGTACGTTAAGCACAGAATGCATGTTGTGAACTGGAAGGATAAATAAAATAAAGATTTTTTTCGCCGACGAGACTCTGCATTGTGTTGTTTAATATAGGTGTTTGGTGTGGGCATCCCTAACCCTTACAGACTCAGGCCCTTTGTAGGGGCCAGAGTACCCGTAAATAGCAGCTTCTCTCCACTCATAAACATCTTCAACCCACACAGTGAACCACTCCAGGTAATCCCTGCCTTACTTCTTCTATGACAGAGTGTGCTGTCTATTGGATGTCTAAAGTTGAATATACAGTGGGGTCCAAAAGTGTGAGACAACTAGTGAAAATGCTTCTTCTCTAATTTGTTGCAAAAAATTTCAGAATTTCTTGCTATTTGGAATTTCCTTCTTTTGCTTTAAAAGGCCGGTATCATGTTAATCATGTTCCTTTTAAAGTAAACTAGTCTGATATAGCATATAAATATTGCTCAAGTTTCAAAACATACCATTTACTCCCTAGTCCATGCAGTCCAAATATAGAAAATGAGCAGCAACAGTCTGTTTTGAATTCATTGTTTCTGTGAAGTCACAAAAAACATCACCTATTTAGTCTGAAGCAGTTTAGCTCTGTCCACTGAAATTATAAGGAGTGTTTCAGCTTGGACTGCTTTTTAAATGAACCACAATATAGGGCAGCCAATCAGAAAAAAAGGTTTTTACATATATTAGTCTTAAAAGCACAGCAACAAAAACAGTCTGTTTAATGCTAAGGATTAAAGAGGGGTTGGACAATGGTCATGTAGAGGTAAGTTTTGTTTATTTCCAGGTTTCAAACAAAACTGGCTTCAGACTTCAAAACTCCAGTGTACATGAATGCTGCTGAACAGGTTGACAGGTGACTGCTTTCTCTTCCAGGTTGTGGAGATGTACTCAAGTGGGGGTGATCTGCATCTAGAGCTGCCTACTGGCCAACAAGGTGGCACCAAAAAGTTATGGGTGAGCATGAAGTTAAATAACTGTTGTGAACTTTTGGTGTGCATTTAGCTCAGAGTACATAGAAATTTGTTTTATTTATGCAGGAGATTGCCCCGTTTGAGACAAAGGGTGTGATGAGGGCCAGCTTCTCTTCGCGGGATGCTGACAACCACACAGCTTTTATCAGGATCAAAACCAATGCATCCAATGAGGATGAGTTTATCATCCTCCCTGTGGAAGTGGAGGTCACCACAGGTCAGGATGAATTCCCATAATCATTGTGTCACAGTCAAAACAGTTAGCCTGAGATTTTTGGCCCTAATTTAAATCTCTTGCTAACTACATTTTAATTTCTTTCCCCAGCACCTGGTATATACTCTTCAACAGAGATGTTGGACTTTGGTACGCTTCGATCACAAGGTAATGATTTTATCCTGTCCTTTCTTTTAAAAAATCAGATCAGATTTTTAAAATCTTTTATTTGCAACATACAACGTGTACATGATGTTTTTCTTGGTGTGAGTGTTGACGTTACATTTACTTACTTATGAATACTTTTTCAGATCGACCAAAACAGTTGAATTTGCATCTTCTAAATTCTGGAGCAAAAGATGTGTCAATCATGGTAGGTCCCCTAGGTTTCTCCTAGAAAAGTGGTTGTATTATCATCTACTTTATGGTCATCTACTATACATCTACTCTCTAGTTTTAAAACATTGACAAAGCCTTAACTTAATTACAGTTCTATGAAGAAGTTTGGGCGCCCCTGGTCAAATGACATGTTTTGTTGGTTTTCTAAGTGAAAATAAATTAACACATCCTCTACAGACAGCACGCTGCTGCACATGTTAATGCACAATTACTGTTTAGTAACATACTGGAGGGAAAACCCCACAAAATGTGGCCTTTGAAAAAGTAATGGCACTTTTATATTTCATGTTTTATCTTTTTCCAATATGTTAAACTCAGACACTGCACACAAAAAATTGCAGAAAATTTATTTTTTACTTTTGTTCTCACTTGATTTTCACTTAGATATGTAATTTGACCTGGGAATCTTCAATCTTTTGCATATGACTGTGCCTAAAAACATAATACAGGTGATGTTTACAAAATCTTAACAATATATATGATTGGCTTGTTAATAATTATTTTTATATTTTAGTCATTATATGCCGTGATGGCAGTTTGCATCACCAGCTGTGCACTCTTATTTTATATATATTTTATATGTATTTTATTTTGGCGTTACAGTTTACACTGTAAATAAATGGATAAAGTTTTATACATGGAGATATCATTTTTGGGTGTGCGTGCTTCTCTGTAATTGCAGAAACCAGTAACACAGATGTAATATCTTTATGAGCAGGCAACAAAGATGTGGTTCTGCTTTCACTGGATTAGTCTATAGGCTACCGATGTTTGCTTTAATTTGCAACAGGTAGAGGAGCAAATTTTTATGAGCTATTGCTGGTGTAGTTCTATTGCCTGACTCCTGATATTCTACCTCACTGTCTCTATTCGGTCTCTTTGTCACGATTTTATATCTTTTTCATCACTTTTGAAAATAAAAGGAACTGATTTTTGGCCACTGCCAGTGAATGCATACTCTTAGCTTGGATAGTTTTCTAATGCAGTTTTACTGTTTGTTGTAGACTAACCAGTGTTTCCATTTCACAGAGCGTTCGTCCAACACCATCAAACGAAGCCATCACAGTCGAGTTCAAGCAGATCACACTAAAAGCAGGAGAGAGTCGATATACCAAAGTTGCAAGTATTAATTTTGATGGTAAGAATGTATTTTATATTATTCTTAAAAAAAAATTACATTTTATTTCTTGAAACATTTGCTGCAAGTCATATAGTAGTATTATATGTTTACACTGAGATAGTTACGTTGGCTTTATTCAACACTAACAAACATAAAGCACCAAAAATGTTTGTTAAAACTTGATAAAACATTATGCCAATGAATGTTATCTGTAAGAACCTAAAATATGAGAAGGTTTGAAGGCCACAGCAGTTTATGAACAGGAGAGATTTTTTTATTATAAGCAGTGGAAGGGGAGGGTACACTGGTTACTTCTTGTTAAAACCACTTGACCATCAGTCATCCAATGGGTGACTCACAAGTGCTTAACATTGTGTGGCTTACTGCTTTACAACAGCATTTCAAAGAAGAATCACTTTTTTTTTTTGTTATTTCTGAGATTTTTATTTTACAATTTTATTTACAGAGAGAAGCTGTGCCACTTTTTTGTAATACATCAGTCTAGAAATAAAGTGTCTGTCTGTCGTCTCATGTTTTATGTGAATTAATTTTTTGTATCTTTTATTTAAATCTTGTCATTTCAGCTTCAAAAGCAAGAAGACCAGACCAGTTTTCTGGTAAAATAACAGTAAAGGCGAAAGAGAAAAGCTACTCAAAACTTGAAATCCCTTACCAAGCTGAAGTTTTAGAAGGGTCAGATATAACACCTGTGTTTTTATCTTCATTATTCCAAATACTGTCTTTATTCTTGTATTATATTGGAAATATAAGACTTATTTTCTTTATTTCTCTTAGGTATCTGGGCTTTGACCACACAGCCACCCTGTTCCACATCAGAGATAGCCCTGTAGATCCAGTGGATAGGCCCATCTACCTCACCAACACCTTTAACTTCGCCATACGCATCCACAACGTGTCCCTTCCTGAGGATGCGAAGACTATGTTCAATGTGAGTCAGTCTGCGTATTTCCATAATACAGCATGTTGAGCTTCAGAGGAGCTCATAAAATAATAAAGCAGGGGAGTATGGCTGCTTTATTCCATTCAGCTAGAATAATGCTCATTTTATTTATAAGCTGGTATGATGGCAACCTGCTTAGTTTGTGTGTTTATTTATATGCTCAAGCGTTTGGTAACATTTTGGTAGTGTTACTTAATTTTAGCACTAACAGAACAATGTTCAAACATTTTTTTAAATAAAATAAAATAAAGATGATTAAGGTATAGGCTCAATCGAAGCAAAACAATTTTAGTCCAAGTCAGTTAAATGTGTTTTGAAAGCTGACTTTGAAACCAAACATTGGATGATGAGTTTTACTGGGCTGCCATGAGGAGAGGTTAGAAATGGTTGAACAAACACATTCACATACAATAAATAACGACTTATTGTATTACTGTTATTTGTGTTTATCATTATATTTGTTTTCTGAGCAAATAAATACTTACTGCACAGATAAATTGCTTTTCATTTAATTTTCTCAGGTGTCTAAAACTTTCACCTGGTCTATATATGTAACTGCCGAGCCAGGGAAGTTTTTAAAAATTGGCTAATAAATAAGTAATGTACTTTAGTTTTTGAGAATTAGCAACTCCAATGTGGTGTGGTGTTTCTGCTTCCTTAAGACCATGACAAATGTGATTAATGCCATGTCAATGGCTACTCCAAAATACTCAAGTAATCTTCATTAGGTTGTTTTGGCAAGCTTGAGCACTTTGCGCTGCTGCCAAAAAATAAGTATTTTGTTTTGCTTGTTTGAGCACTAACGTTTTCATTTTGGTTTCCATTTCCTGTGTGGTTTAGGTGCATAATTTTAGCGCGCCAGTCCTCATCCCTCCCCACGAGTCGCGCTACATGTTCTCACTTCTCTTCCGGCCTGTGCGTCCATCCATTCACATCGACAGCAACATCCTCCTCATCACCAATGCATCAAAGTTCCACCTGCCTGTCAGGGCGTATACTGGCTTCCTGGAGGTAAATTAGCAGAGCCTGCTAACATGCTTTAGGATAACTGAAATGTTTACAAAGTAATTTCTTGAATGGTTGGGACTTTTTTGTAACATAGTAATAAAGTAATTACAAAAGTATTATTACAGGAGAAGGGTTACTCTTGAAATTGGATTATTTTTTACTGACAATTTATATAGCTGTACTGTGCAGATTTCTTGCTTGCCTTTATTAGCAAGTACATCATTGCATTGAAGAGTTCTTATTTGCAGCTTATACTAGTCCTGTTTAAAATGTCTTCCAAACTAAAAGAACCAATTTGTATAAACAAAAAAAACAGGTTTCCTCACAAATGTAACATTTTTAAGAGTATAAAGATTAATTCTGATATTTTATGGTGTGTATACCCTCTTTGTTTGGTAATTTCATGGAATCTTCTTTGTAATGTGTTCTCAACAGCCTGTAGTCCTTCCACCTAGTCCTACAGAGCACATCTTGGATTATGGAGTCCTTAGTGCTACAGACACCAGCAGTTTGGTGTTTGTGGTCGTCAACAGCAACCCCATAGAGGTAAGGGTCAGGTAACTGCATAGGTGACTGGGTTTGGGTTACAAGGTAGTCGTTTTCATTGAAGAAAGTATGAAAATGTGCCCCATTCATGACCACCTGAGATACTGACTGTATTAATACAGAGCATTTAAACATCTTAAACCCCCATAATGGTTGTAATAATAACAATAATAATAAGATTTGTTTGTATAGCACACTTCATGCATACAATGCAACTCAACGTGGGTTAAAAGACAAAAGAGGGAAATTAAAAATGATATAACAATAAAATGATATATGCAGCAATAAGATTTTTACGTTGTGACAAATTTGAATGGACTTTAACAATTTTCAAAATAGGAATATAGTGAAATAGTTTGTTGTAGAATGAAGTTGAAATTGTGGTAAACTGTTTTTTGTAGTGCCTTTTTTGTGGTTTTGCCTGTAGTGCTTTTTTGTGGTTCTGTCTAAGGCTTTAGATAGACTGGTGTAACCGTGCATCGTTGCTGATTAATGTGACTCATTCTTTCTTTGCAGCTGGAAATAAAGTCATGGCTGGTGACTGGAGACAGTCTGTCGATGGAGCTACTGAACACAGAGAAAGGGAACAGGAGTGTAGCACTGGGTAGAATCAGAGAGCTCCAGAACACTTCAGCAGTCCATTACAAAACTGTAAGGCTATATTTAAAACATAATAATATGTTGAGGTCTAGGCTATAGGGAGGTCAGTCCATTGATGTCAAAACACCAGCGGCTTCTTTGTTTAAATTTTTTCTTTGTCACTAACAATTGTGTGACAGACGCACATCCATTCAGACTGATTGTGTTGAGTCCTCTCACAGTTGAAAGATAGATGGAAACACCTGTAAATTTTTATTATCCCTCAGAGATAAAAGCTTAGTACTGTTTATTTATTTATGGGCAGTCTTGCATGATTAAGGTTGTTCTGTGTTTCTTTGTACTTAAATAACGTTTACAACTCCAGTTTAGGAATTTTTTCCCGATTACCTTTCTTAAAATGTCCCCTTTGTCGCGCAAGTGAATTATCTTGTGTGATCTCCAGAAAAAAAAAATGTACTTACAGGTTGTTTTGACTAGAAATTAAATAAATGAAAGTTAGAATTTAACAAAGTACTGTGTGCATACACGCACACACACATCTTTTCTACATTCATTTCCAAAATATCCTCTGTGTCTAATAATCCAGCAGAGATCTTGTGACTACTGTAGAGAAAAACATAAATGCAGTTAGAAAATTGCCTTCAAGGTTTTAATTGGGAGCATGCTGTACTACACATAGGTTTATTCTTGGGTGAAGAATGAGATTCTAACCTGTTTTATTTGATCATGCAATTCATATTTGAGACATAGTCCATGTTTGCTCTTGGGACCATTCTAGCATGGTTGACTGAATATGAATTACGTAATCTCAATTTAGCTGTGTCAGGGTTTTGCATGCTTTACCAACCTAATGTTCAGCTCTTGAATGGACAAGGCTGAATGTTTATATACTGACGTGTTGTGTTTGCACTTTTTATGCTTGGGGATATAATCAGTCAGCTGACATGAAAGAAATGAATATAATGATCTGCATATCCTGCACCATGATTTTCATATATTAAAAACAAAAGGACCAATGTTTTCTGTGCAGTTGTACTTCATCATGCATTTCAGTTTATGTAGTAAAAGCATATGGAAACCAGAACTTTGTGATTTGTAAAGGTGTTAATGTTTGTGCCTATTTCTCCTTACAGGTCATTTTAGCCTCTGGCTATTATGCAGCATTTAAAGTCACTCTGGTGGCTAAAGCACTGGAGGGGGTGTATGATGGAGCTGTACATATTACCACAGATTATGAGGTATGTGATCCTTCTATACTCTCATAGTGGATGTGTCTCATAACACTGGCATGACCATACTTGCCCAGGTGTGTTGTTTACAGTTTAGTCCTGTTCTCCTTCCTCTTACAGATATTGACTATTCCAGTAAAGGCCCTCATAGCTGTGGGAACATTAAGCTCTTCACCCAAACACATTATTATGCCCCCTTCCTTTCCGGTAAGTTCTTTGCTGCAAGAAGTGTCTTTTTACAGTGGAAACGTCTTTATAGTTACAGTGATCCATATTGTTGTCTGTGAGGATCTAAGTCAACACATGGCTGGTGATTCTGGATGAATTCAACACACTTGTGGTAGATTCACTGCCAAAACTACTAATTTGTTCATTTATTTCTTTGTTTTTGTTTGATTGTTCACATTATCTTTTTAATGTGACGTACATCTGACAACAATATGAACAAATCAAGCTCCTGTACTGACTCAAATGCACAAAAGAACACCAGGCAGGCTCCTTCATCAAACACAGCTGTCCTCCAACATTCCCTAAGATTAAAAGTCTCCTTTCACGTCACATTAACATTAGCTGTACGAAGTTTACAGAAAAGAGAAAAAATTGTGAATTTCTATGCTTATTTTAATAGTGGAAGCTAATGAAACTGAGAAAGGAGAAAGCTTGTTTTCTTTCATATTTCTGCTGTGAAAATAATTGCTGTTAAAGGGGTGCAAACTCAGAGTCAAAATGGTAGTGTGTGTATGTGTATATGTATATATATATATATATATATATATATATATATATATATATATATATATATATATATATATATATATACAGGATAAAGAAACCTGATCTGTAAGAGGCTCCTTTTTTGTTTCTCTCTTTTTTACCAAAATATCCTGTGATTTTGAATAGTTTGATTTCTCTTGTTAGAAAAGTGCCTTTCTCAGTGATGTTGGCGTTAGATATCTGTTCCTGCGCAGCATGAAATTATGAATAGGATAGTTGATGTAAAAGTCGTGTGAATTCTGATCTGACTGTTCAGGCAGAGGTCACATTGCCATGTATCAAATACGTATCAGATTTCACTACATATGAAAGTGGCCGAAATCGGAACTGAAAACATCGGATTGAATCTATTTTTTATTGTTCATTTTGTCACACAAAAAAATTAATGTCTTGCATATGAAGAAAAAGGCCACTTTCGCCTGCAGTATGAACAGAGCCAAAAGTGACCGTGCAATACATCACAGCCTTATTAGTCTACCCTCCAAAGATGCTGTCCTCTCTTAACCATCCCAGGTGAATGTGACAGCATGAATAGAAAATGTTTTGAAATGTTAAAGTTTCTTTTTCTGCTACTTTTTGTAGACAACACACCAGAAGAATATAATTCTTACTATTTTTTTCATGATTATTCAAAAGCTAAATAGTTAGTAGATGCTTGACTATAGACAACAAAGGCATTGAAAAAGACCCAAGTATCAAACTTTGGCTGAAGACATTTCCGCACAAATCCTGACTGACACAGTTAGCTCCCTTTAGTTACCACTCCCTGTCTCCTCTGCAGCACACTTACTCAATTTGTTTTTGCGTACTTGCCTTTACAGTCAAGAAACAGTCCATTAGCAGTTGCCAAACATTTCCTGTGTCCCCATCCCAATCCCCTCCAGACTATATTGTACATTGTGTGTGTGTGTGTGTTTGACGTATTTATCTCCAGGGAAAAGTGGTTCACCAGGGCCTCAGCATCCAAAGTTCATTCTCGCAGAAGGTCAGGCTTCAGCAGATCCTTTCTCTTACTGAGGATGTGCGGTTTTACTACAAACGACTTCGTAGTAACAAAGTGGAGCTGGAGCCCAGACGCAAATCCAAGGTACCTGTGCTTTATAGACCTTTGAAGTTGTGTTGTCATTCTGTAGTTCATGTCCTGTCTATATTAGGGACTCTAAGCTCTACTCTGAGGGATCTTAGCAGATAATAAGGGAAAACAAAAATGTTTACAAAGCCAGTACGTTATGCATGTACGTACAGTGGAATGTGAGCAACCACTACATGCCACATGCATGCTAGAAGCAAGCTAACACTCTTGTCCATTGAAATAATGTTGCATGAAAGTCCACTATTAAACACTTATTATAACTTTTATTTTTGTTGAAGTGAAAATCCGTACACAACCTCTACAGAGAGCACACTTCTGCATATTTTATATCACTGTAGTTATTTATTTGTTGAAATTATATTGGAAATGAAATTAAAAAATAAAGTGTGCCTGTACACAAGTTATGGGTGTTTCAACTTTTGTTTTTTTTCCCCAATATGTTAAACTTAGCAAATAAATAGAAATTGTGCCATATATAAGTTTTCTTTCTTATTTCCTGTCCGCCAGGGGCGGTACTTACTAAGTATGTATACGTCCGAGAGGATGTATACCAAATGAGTCACCCTGTGCCCCCTGCACGTGATGTCGCTGAGGCTATATCATCCTGTGACTCGCCGCAAGCTTCCTTTTCCCTTCTCACCATCGACCTACTATGCAGTCGGGTGACACCATTCATAGTGTCAGTGATTCGTAACTCTTTTTGTCCTCTTCGGACAGTTGTCTTCCACTCCTCATTTGACCACACCAAGCATCTCTGTGTAGGCTGTGTAAGCTCTTCCCTCACCTCAGTCAGTTGGCTATCTGGCTTGGGGTCATGGCAGACTGGCGGCGAATTTGGCTCATGGCTGCCACCAAGTATGGCTGGAGCAGTCTACACTTACAGATGCGTGTAGGGCGATGATTCCTTCTCTGCCCTTAGTTCTGGGCCATGTCTTTGGCCTAGTGGTTAGGGAAGCTCTTGAATGCCACTCTTCCTTCTCCAAGTTATCTAGGTTGAAGACCCTTTGTTGTTCCCGAAGAAAGACGTATTTGGCCAATTCTGGATTTCTGACAGTTGAAGTAGCCTCTGAGGATTTTTGCTCTTTTGCATTCTTCACATTGGTGCTGTTCTTCAGTGTTTGCAGATGGAGAGTGGATTACTTTGGTGGACTTACAAGTCCCATAGTGCAAAGCACAGGTGTTTTCTCCGGTTTGTGTTCCAGGGCAAAGAGTTCAGTTCAAATTTATGCCCTTCAGACAGTTGTTAGTTTTTGAGGCGTTTTTGAAGTGCATACTGGCCTCCCTGACACCCCTCATGGAGCAAAGGCTAAAAATCTTTCCTTATTAGACATTTGGCTGGTGTGTGTGCCCCTCTCAAACATTCTCAGAAGCTGTAGGAAGATGCTCAATCACTGGGCCTATCTGTGAACTGGGAAAAGAACAAACCGTCTCAGTCACTGACAACGCAGTTTATTGGCATGATGCCAAACTCTCAAACGATAGTGGCCCCGCTGCTGATCGACCGAGTCCAGGTGATTCTGCTACTCATTGGCTGCCTGAGGCTGGGAGCAAGAACATGGTACTTAACACTGCGGTGGCTTTAAGGATTCCTCATGGCTGCAGTGCAGGTCATTGCTTCTAGATGTGGCTGATTTCTCACCAGCTGGACTCTCTGTGCCACAGGCATGTCTTAATTTGTATTCCTGTCTCTCATTCTAGCGCTCCTAAACAGAGTTCAGAGAGAAGAACGTTGGGTTGTCTTGGTAGTGCCATGGTGGCTGAAACTAATTCTGTCATGGGGCACAGGTATGGTATCCACAACTGTTTGGAGTTTCACCAGCTGTGGCTATGGCCCTAAGGCCTGATCTGTCATCGTGCTCTCCTGGAGTCAAAACTACAATTCTGAATGCTAGAGCTCCTTCAACCCATACTGTATACAAGGGCAAGTGGCAGGTGTTCATGGGCTGGTGCTCAAAGAACCAGTGCTATGTCTCTGCTATGGCAAAGGTGTGGAATACAGACCAGCTGTTTATATGCTTTTTGGAATCTAAATACGGCTCTCCACTCTCAAAGCACCATCTTTCGCGTTGGCTGGTGGAGGTGATTGAGCTGGCCTGCACAGCTGCCAACCATCCATTATCTGCGCATTCTACTGGCCACTCAATCAGGAAAGTCTTTGTTTTAGGCCTCCTTCACAGGAGTTCCATTCATTGACACTGTTGTACAGCAGCCACATGATCTACGGCGTACACGTTTCCTCCATTCTATAATGACGACGTTGCTGCGTCATCATATCTGACGCAGGCTGTCCTGTCCCATAACACGGGCTGTGTCTGATACACTCGTTGTGACTGCATGGGCACAGATCCTTCACTCAGGAAGTACTACTCCTGGCGATCAGGATCTATGCAACATAACACTAGTTAAGAATGTAACTGTGGTTATGGGAGTAGTTGATGACTGCCGGTGTTCCTGGTCACTCAGAGAAAGCAAGAAGATCTAGGTACCTAAAGTCATGGGATGATATAGCCTCTGTGACATCACTAGCATTATTCTCTGTGGAAGATATGCTAACTCATTTTCACTTAGAATGTCAAAACGTGTATGACTTTAACAAGTTTTGTATTTTGGTTCATTAATGACCTTATCAAGGGATCCAGTAACAAAAATGAAAAATGTATGAACAGCAAAACATGTTGGCTTTGGAGCATTTTTTTTATCACGTTATAAGAGAGCTTTTTTGTTTGTTTGTTTGCTTGGTTTTTTTTTTTTTGGTTTTTTTTTTTAACACCATTCCTTTTCTTCTTCATAGAGAAATTACAGCTTAGACCCAGAGTTACACAGGCATGAGCCTGACTACAAAATGAACCATGACTTCAGTAGTCTGTTCCACATTGTTCAGGCCACAGCAATTCAAGCATCTGCAGTGTAGAATCTGCCTTAATTTAACTTTTTTTTAAATATATATTTCTCTCTCTTCTTTTACAGATAGCAAATATTTATTTTGATGCAAGTTTACAGTGTGGCGATCACTGTTATGTGGGATTACCATTTGTGCTGAAATGTAAGTTCTCTTATTTGCCGCCTTCAGTTTATTTTGGTTCTGTTTGTGTTTTATGGGTGTTTTTTTGTTAAATGTGTAAAATACTTGTTAATTGTTTTATTGTGTTTGCAGCTGAATCAAGATCCCATAGTCTGGCCATGCAAGAGGACATTTGGGATGCTGATGTAGATTTGCACCAGAGGTTGTTGAAAAGATGGAGAGAACTGAAGGAACAGTCAGGGCTTGAGTGAGTTCTGCCTTGAAGGCTTACTGTGTTTACAACATCACATGTTCCAAATCATATTTCAGTGTCTACTACAAGGGCATATTTGTAGGAACTTGAACAATTGCTGTGTTTTTTGTGTAGGATTGAAGCATTCTTTGAAGTAAACACAGATCTTCAGAAAAATGTGCAGGCAAAAATCTCAGCACAGCTTACATGGCCCTCACTAGTAAATTCCTCACAGCAAGTTCTGTTCCCCCTCACCAACACCAACAGCTCTTCGGTGAGTACTTTTTACACTCATTTGCAAGTTTGTGTTTTCTTTTTGTGTTTTTTCAAACCTGAACATTGTGCTTGATGAATGGGAATCTGAGTGAGCACATAATTTCCATATTTATTTCATTTTTTTGTTGTAGTCGAGGAGAGTTCAACACCTAGCCCAGATGTGAAAAATGAATTGCCACCTTTTGCAGCAAAATGCAGTTAAACAGAGTTATTGAAGAGTAATTTTGGCCCTTCTCCATGCTATGTTGAAGCCCATGAGCTGCTTTGCTTCTGGTTCCACCACAGCATCTTCATGAGGTCGAAGAGACATCCTAAATCTCATTTTTAACTTCCTTCTTTACACATCATTCTCATACAGAATTTCTTCTGTGTTTGGATAATCGTCTCAATTCATAACACAACTGTGCTTCTGTTCTTAAATTGATAGTCTTTAATTGTCCAGGAAACTTCTTGTGAATATGTCCTTTAAATGAATGCAAATTATGCAGTTCATAATGCAGAGAAGTATCCCAAAACTATTTCTAATACTTACATGTGACCACTGCTACGGTCTTCCGCCTGTTAAGTGCAGTCTGGTTTTCACCATACATGATGGGAACAGTGCTGTCCAGAAAATTCATTTTTGAATCATCTTATAAATCAAGATGCAAGAAATAATCCTATTACTCCAACCACAGGTTGTTTTTGTAGTTCGCTAGTTATAGTACTGGGGGAAAAAGTTCTACAAAAACTGCATTTATTTGGCTTATTATGAGATAAAGGCAATGAAAAGTTTCCTCTAGACAGTGCACTACAGCATGGTATGGTTACTAATCTGAATTCAGAATTAACTAATGAGTACCGGTGTTCATTTCCCATTGTATAACAGTACCTATGAAAGTAACTGGAGGTTGTGTGGTGATGACGTGATTTCCTATACAATGGTAAAGTTAACAATAAACGCAAACAGTTGCAACAACAAAGTGGCTTCAAATTCTGATTTACCTTTTACTCCACATTTTATGTGTAGAGTCACAGCCAGCGATTCTAGCTGGCTAGTGTTGCTAGCAGTGGTGGTCATCTGACATGGATGATGACACATGATGCTTTTCTGATGACTACATTTGACCAATCAAAGGTCTGCATCATTTATATGTATTAGTTTGGTATGCATCTTACCCTGGCAAGAATCTAACTCAGGAACCAAAATTCACTTACCAATGGGAATGTCGATAAAATGTATGATCACGGATTTGTAACCATATGGTGCCTTACCACACTGTCTCACGACGTAGAGTATTATACCACTTGTGTTAAGTAGACGTCACAGGAGCAGTAGAAACAGTAGTTGTTACTGTTGTTACAGTTTTTTTATACCATCATTTGTTTGAGTTTACAAGTGGGGGCAATTGTATTTTCATATAAAACAAAAAAAACAGTAACTTTTTTCTGTAACTCACAGAAAATCCAGATGTGCAAAAATCCATTAAACTAAACACTGACTGTGAATTTCTGTGTTAAACCATATTACTACATTGTGAGAGCATGGTACACTTTAGGGCTACAAACAGAGCTGGTACATATGTTGAACACACTTTTGGACACAAAGTTTTGCCTTATGTGACCATATCTTTCCCTACATCCCCTCACCACTTTTCTCAACTCTGTTAGGAGGAGGAGGTTGTTCTGGAGAACCCGTCTGATGTACCAGTCTATGTGCAGGTTCTCCCAGTGGCCCTCTACCCAAACCCTTCAGTGTTCACCGGAATACTAGAAGACAGGTAATGCACCAAGTCACACTTGTGCTACTTGTAACAAAACAGGAAGCCTGTCTTTTATTTATGTTTTGGCCTAGTGCAAAGCTTGCAGATTCTTAGGAACTACTTAGGAAGTGCTTAGGAAGTACTTGTACCCTGGAAAGAGGCTGTGTTTGTTAGTGTAGGCCTGATTTGATAAGAGTCTAATTTAAAATAAAAATAGCAAATACAAAAGAAAAACTTTTAGCTTACTCTGCATTAATAAACAAAGCATAAAGAGGGAGACAACAGAGACTGTCTTAGTTTAAAAAATTAAGATCTAGGTATCTAGGAAGATCTAGTATAATGATTACAATACACTAATAACATTATTTATGTTGTACTTTCTTTAGTGAAAAAAAGTAGGTACCGAAGAAAAAACTTTCTGCTCCCTCTTGTAAATTGCTAACAGTTGCTGCTATCTGGTTTGTAAAATTTCAGACAAAGAACATTCTGTGTGTGTGGTTGTATGTTGTTACGACATTGAAATTGATATAAATATCATTGTATCTTTGCTGATCTTGCTGGGTGATCCAGAACAGTGGAGAGCTTTGTGTAGCAGAAAAACATGTGCATAATTTTCCTTTTATTCAGCCTTAGATGTATTAAATTGCTATGAAATCTTGTCCTTTAAGTCGTAGTACAGTATTGCTTATTTGCTTTTTTTGCATTTTGAAAGGTTCTCTTTCAGCCAGATCTGTGTTTTAAAGGGAGCATTAAGCTTTGTTCAACTGCACTGTTTGCCTGAACCTTCACAGATTCCCAAGAGGAAAGTTATCCATCATTGATACGAATACACTGGAATTTGAGGTCCAAAGAAATCAAGTGAGTATTATAGGTCTTACTGTGGCTCAGAATTGGCCATTTGCAAAATTCTAAGGAAGTCACACCTCCCTTAGTTATTGTTGCTTCATCAGTCCAACTTTCAGTTTAGGCCAGCTGGTAGCATCTGTAAAACTTGTGTTAACAGACTAAAAGGAGTACAAAGGAAGCACACAGATGAGGGCATTTAAAACAATTTCTATTCAAGAAGATGAACTAATTTTAAAGCTAACACAGTGTGTTAGATCCTCAGGAAATCTCATTGTTTTTTACACAGGCTCTTTCCGCAGACATTAAATAAACAACACAAAGACTGACATATATAAGTGTATTAATGTTTATCTGTACACACACTATTTTAATCACAAACATAAGTGCTGTACAGTCCTGTTTAATATGACTGATTTATTAAGCTAACGTCAGCAGCTAAGAAAAGCAAACTAGTTAGCTAACTGATATTAAGGTATTTATGTACCGTTATTTATTGTTCGACACCTTATTAAGGATTTTAGCAATTAGAGTGACCCAGATAAAGTTTACCTCCCTCCAGATGATCAGCGTAGCGTATGGCAAGCGTTATTCATTCCTTAGGAACACCTTTCCACCATTTCTTACTCTAATAATTCGGACTAATTTAATTCCTCTGTCGCTCTTACTGAAGATTTGCTTTGAGGGGTTTTGTCAGAGCTTTTCCTTCATTTGGTGGTGGAGTTAGCATTTAGAGACGACTCATTGGGAAATGTGGGCGTCATAATTTTGCAAACAGTCAGTTGATGATTTATCGTACAGCTTAGAAAGCTTTGATCATAACTTTGTTTATCATTTAGTTTAGCTTTGTGAAGTTATTTTGCAATACAGTGCATGTCTCTGCTTATTTCTTTCCATGATTGCACTATGCAGAGAATTTGATTTTTATAATTAAATTACTAAGATTGTTGGGGTTCTTTGCATATAATAATTATATTTTGTTTGTGTGTGTTTTGTGTGTCAGTCCTCAGTAACGAGTTCCACAGGATTTGTCGAAGGGTCAACACGGCCTTTTATCTTTAATGTGCTGCTCATGCCCGGTGAAGCAAAGTCCCTCAGTGTGAAGTTCACTCCCATCAGCAATCATAGTGTGTCCTCCCTGCTGGTAGTCAGGTGAGCTCTTACAGCACACTCTGTATATACACAAAGCCCCACCCATGGCCATATACTAAAACACTTTGAAGCTCTAGGGCCAGAGGGCTATGTTGGGTGTGTCTTTATTGATCTTCATTCCACTTCCAAAAGAAATGAATTGGAGTTAGTCAATGTCTGAAATGTAAAACTGAATCAATGATATGTACAAAATAAATATATCTGACTTCAGTTACTTATGTTTTAGCTAAACATTGGCTGTGTGTTTGTTTTTATTTGGGCAAAGAAGTAGTTCAGCTTTTCATAGGTGTTTTTTTTTTTACCAGTGGTGTCTTTAGCCTGTGTAGTAAATTTGTAACAGTGAGCACTTGAATGATGTCAGTTTATGCATTAACTTGGAAAAACTTTTAAAGATTTTGCATTGATATATTTTGACCGTATCTTTTGACATTTGTAAAGGAATAACCTGACTGTGGTGGACCTGATCATGGTGCATGGTCAGGGTACAAGAGAGAGTCTGAAGCTTGCTGGGAAGGCCCCAGGACCAGGCAGCTCCCTGAGATTTAAGATGACTGAGGCACTCCTCAAAGACTGTTCAGAAAGTGAGTGTAATCTAGTATCAGTTGATTCCTTTTAAGAGTTCAGAAGGAATTGCATAAGAAAACCATTTTAGGGCATTCTCAAGTCCTTTATTCTGTTGGCTTAATAATAACTATGTTCCTTTCTCAAGAAATCTTACTTTGAAGTTAACAACAGTGATTATGTAAGACATGGCAGCATTACCTCATTGTTAGTTTTTGAGTATGTGTGGCAGGATTTTTTAAATTCCATGTGAGTTTTTTGTGTATCTATACTTTCCTTATGTTTTCCTTGTTGTTGCAGTTTGATTTGTCATTTTTGTAATTTATACGCTGCAAAACCTCACAAAAATTCCTCACATTAAGTGTATCAATTTACTTTTTCTGCTTTATTGTGAGAGCCAGAAAACTGCCTGGAAGTTGAAACAAAGTGGTAGGCCCCATGCTAGAAATGCCAGAATAATTTGAATTGTGAATAAATAAATATTCACATTTTTAAGATTGTTATAGACTAGCTTTAATCAAACTCTGGACTTGCATTCCTTACTCCTCTAACATAAATAACTGAGCTATTTTGCGTTGTTTTCCATGTCATTACTGACTAGTAATGCCTAGAATATAAAAAAGAGTTTAGGGAGTTAACTGGTTATCAGTAAATATCAGGAGAACATTAACAGTGGCATTTCATGTTTTTAAATGAATTATAAACATGTTATTGTAATTTGTTTGTTTTTAAAGACAAACCCAAGGAACCAAATTTCACTCTGCGAAGGACATTCAGACTGGAGAATACAGGGCTTCTCCCCATTCACATCCGATCCATGGAAATCAGTGGCACCCCCTGCCAGGGCTATGGATTCAAAGTTCTCAACTGTCAAGAATTTGCACTCAAACCAAACACTTCGAGAGACCTCGTCATACTGTGAGTTTCCCCCAGTATTTGCTTTGACTTTATAAACTTGTAGCAATTTAGAATTTCACATAGTATATCATTGATGCTTAGGCTAATTATGTAAGTGCCAGATTCTTCTTTATGGTTCATGACATACCAAAATAGTGTAGTAATAACTTTAGCTCGCAGAGAAATAAGCATCAATTAGGGTGCATTTAAAAGAGAAGTGCTTAGTGCAAGCATTAGTAGGCTGAGGATTTGCTTGAAATGCACAAGCGTCTTCTGAGAAGACGCTGGCAAAAACTAGGTCAGTGTCCAACCTCAAGCTGGAGGGTAAACATCACCTGTCAAGCTCCAGTGTCTGAAGGTGCTATTAATAAATGTGAATCCCGCACATGCGGAGTGTTTCCTCGACGGGGACATGAATTGCCTCACTGTTGTGCCGCCCCCACCCACACACACACATTTCTTTTGGCAGGGTCATTGACTCAGCACTGTATGAATTTCAAGTATTAGAGAGTGCTTAAAATCACCTAGACCCTGCTTAGTTTAATAGGAAAATGAACTGTGAACAAATATTGTACAGTAAATTTAATGCTGTGAATGATTTTAATATACTGCCATACTGACCTGTTCACCTGATTTCTTTGAATTATTTTTTTTTTTGCTCTCGTTTGTTAATTTATTTTCTTTTCTGCCTATTGTGTAGTCTCATAGAGATTACAAATATCAGTATATGGTTGATTTTTTTAAGATATTCACCTAATTTCTTTGAATTTATTTATTTAGTGTGCAGCCTGATATCGATCATAGATTTCTCTGTTTTCTCTGTTTGGTGCAGGTTTACACCAGATTTCACGTCATCACGAGTCATCCGGGAGCTGAAGTTTGTGTCGGCAGGCGGCTCAGAGTTCGCGTTCGTGTTGAACGCTTCGTTGCCCTATCACGTGCTGGCAGCGTGTGCGGAGACCATCCCCCCACCCAACTGGGAGCTGGAGCTCTACATTATTGTCTCCCTCTTTATGAGGTGAGTATTGGTGCTGGGTCAAATTACGTTCTGCATGACACACAATAGAGCACTTTGCTTTTTTCTTGTTGTTCTTGATTAGTGCAGGTTGTGGTAGCGGGACTGTATACTGTTGGTATTTTTATTTTCAAACGTTTCATTAATTTGATAATTTGATAAGCCAGTTATTGGTATTAGGGAGGCATGATGACATTGGAATCGTATCGATATCAGCAGACATCGGTATTTATTATATTTGATGACATAAAATATTTGATGACTTCTTGTATTCTAGAACGGCAGAATCTTTAGGTGTTGCTGGGAGTTTTCATTTTACTGCATTTGTAACTCTATACAAACAAATGTTATATTTTTCTATAATGATAATCCAGGTAGGTATAATACCATTGAAGACACTTTGATATCGTTACTGTCTCAAAAAACCTTAAATATTGGTACAACCCTAATCAGTAGATTCAGTTTCTGCAATTTGTTTACATAAGCTATGTTGTAATTGTTCTAAACTGTTCTTAAGGCGCTCTCCTCCATTTAAAAATAGGGCTAGGTTACTTTCTATTAATGTTTAAAGGTTACGTCAGGTGTGTCAGTTTACAAAGGGAATTTAAAAAGCAGCTCATATTGTATTTCTTAAGGCTGTTGCCAAACATGACACAAATAGGCAATACGGAAATGCAAAACATTCCACTATGCACATCAGGAACATTTTTTTAATTTATTTATTTATTATCACAACAACCAACAAGCTGGCAAAAATGTCTTCAAGTGACAAAAACATCTTTTGCTTTTTCACAAAACAGGAAAACGATGACATTGGGTGGCTAATTTCTATTTTGGAAAAGTGAAAGAAATACAGAGTCTCTCACCACCTCATTCTGTAGCTGGAACTTAGAGAGCTTTCACATTAAGCTCCGATGTCTTTACTCTGTGCCCCATTTGAGCTGCTTTTGGAGATGCTAACACCATGTGTTTGGAAGCAGAGGACAAACAAATACTTGTGACGTTTGTCAAAAAAGTTCACACCCCTGCTCCGTCAGCTTGGTTGTCCCCATGCCAGCGACAAAGACAACAGTGATTGGTCATTGAGTTCATGTTGCTGGTGAAAGTTTGCCAGTATTGAACAAGGGACGAATAAAATAATGTTTCGTGTTCACTATTCAAGAAATTGTGTTTGGTGTGCCAGATGTCATCAGGTATACACGTGTTGAATTAATTTACCTGATTAAATTGCTCAAATAAAGCATGTCCAGTGTGTAACTATTGCTCTTTAAGACTACAGCTCAAAGGCCAATACTTATGCACAACTTGCACTTAAAAACCTGTACGCTAGGTTGGCAAACAGAGGGTTGAATTTGGCTCCTTTATGCTGTTTACGGAGAAGCTGAATATACTAATGATGGTATGGTAGGTGCTAAATCTTCTTGTATTTCTTCAGTTCTATGTTTCTCCTGGTTATCGCCACTGCCTATCTGGAGGCCCAGGGAATATGGGAGCCTTTCAAAAAACGCCTATCTGTGGAATCCAACTCTCCCATGGAGACCGGAAAACCATTTGATCTCAGGGAAATTGTTAGAATTCAAAGTGATGCAAAGTAAGTTTTCCATGTTTCCATGCTGTTTTGTTGCATGTCCTCTGCAGTACTCATGATCGCAATTTGACTGTTTGTAATCTTTACGCAGCTTGAACGATTTTGCTGACTCGCACCAGAACTTGACTAGAGGAATGTATGGGTCAGGTAGTGGTGGACGAGCTGGTGGGCGGCAGGGTGGCCCCCACTCCAACTCCAATGGCAGCACCATTTTAGGGGACTGCAAGTCCAGAACTGGCTCAGGCCGCTCAGCATCTATGCAAGCTTCCTCCCCTTCTTCCTCTCAGCTCATAAAAGACAGTGGCCCAGGACTCCCTCAGTTAACCCACCGTAAGGCAAAGAGCTCAAAGCAGCAGCAGCAGCAGACCTCCAGCCCTATGGAAGAGCTCCAAAACCTAGGCACAGCCACCCTGTCCCAGCCTCACAGAGGCCACAGCACGGAGGATCAGGACTACAGCAGACTTCTCATAGCCATGGACAAAGACTTAGATCGGCCTGAGTCTCCTGCCATCAATTTGTTCACAGAACAGAACATACAGCAGCCTTCACAAAACAAGGGTAATATACCTTGGGGAGCTGACATCTCTTGATATGGTCAACGTAGACTTCATAGTTGTGATTTTCCAAAGCTTTGAATTTAATAGCTTGCTTAATTTGAGGTAATGGTCAAGAGAAAAAAACTTGGTTGTAACAGAATTTCTGTTAATATCTAGTAGTGCTGGAATCAAAAGGGAAACTGAAGACTAAATCAAAGGCTCAGAAGAAGAAAGAGGAGAAAGAGAGGAAAGCAAAGGGAAAGACTCAAGGAGAAGAGTTGAAAGAGGCACTTGCAGACAATGACGACAGCTCCTCCACTACCACTGAGACCTCAAACCCAGATACAGAGACTAATCTTAAAGAGGTAACAAACCAAACTGTCAGTTGCATTTACAATGCACAGAAAATGAGTGGTCCAACATATAGACAAGGTCATCTACAAGTGCAAGCATAACATTTTGTCAACATTCATTGTATCTCCTAATGAGTGGTTTTGTATTACATAGGAACCAGTGAAGAAGAAGGTCCGAACAGTCATGATGGATAAAGAAAGAGAGGAAGTCCCTCCCTCCCCTACTAAACCCAAAAACAAGAAACAATCAACCACAAAGAAAGAGAATCAAGTGGAGAAGTCCAGGTTTGGAAGCCATTTCTAATGATTTTGAAGCAAAACAGAACGTTAGCTTGTGCCTTCACAAATTTCAGTTGTACTTACATGTGTGCTTTTAATTTAACTACAGCAGTATTTCTAGCAAATGAAATTCTCAGTAGCTGATATCTTGAATTCTGTTTACCTCTTTTTATTTTTGTGAGTGCTGGCCATGATGGACTCATGATGGAACCAATACTTGCTCTAGGCATCTGCCTCAGTAAATCAATAGATGCCAATGTCTTGTGGTTGACAGTGCATTTCTTTGTGTTTGTTGTAGTTCTCTGGAACTCCCCTATGTCACCCCATTGGAAAACAAGCAGCGCAAGACATTCCCTAAAAATGTCATCAGTACAGGAACCTCCAACATGCCGAAACCACGACCTCCACAGAAACAGAGAGGTAAGTGTAAAGTCAGGGTGTTTTCCACTTGTTTGCTCTTGAAGCTCTGTGGTTATAACTGTAAATGCACTTTCCAGTGCCTGGTGGGAAGCTGGAGGATGGGCGTCCGTCTCCATTGGCAAAGTTCCTTAACAACGGCTTCATGCAGGAGTTCAGCAGTGGTTCAGAGGGGGAGAAAGAGTCCCCCCCACCAGAATGGGATGTTCCACTCAAAGTTAGCAGCCGTAAGTCCATTCGTTGAATCTTCTGCCTCAAACAGATATTAACAGACTCTTGCTTTTCAATGTCTATATTGTATATGATTGTATCTTGTCTGATGTCACAGTATATTTATTTCTTCTCTCCTGTTAGAAGCAGACAGTCTTCAACAGATTTCCTTGCAGACTATGAATGCAGACCCCTTCCTGAAGAGACCTATCTCAGCTATCTCCAGAACTTGCTCCCCTCCCCCTACCTCACCCACCCTGATGCCTCGTGTAAGCTACAGCAGTGTGCTTAACACCAGCAGGTAACACACACAAACATGCACACTGATTCTGAAGCATTCTGACTCCCTTAAGGAGCTTGAAAGTATTTCACATTTTAAAGAATTGTGAAAGGCTGTTGATCATCATAATCCTCCTTTTATAGTGAGGTGAACTCAAAGAAGGCTCCAGGGAACAAACTAACCAAGTCCACATCTCTCCCTGGCAAGAATGGAAATCCCACTTTTGCAGCTGTGGCTGCTGGCTATGACAAAAGCCCTGGTACGTTACTGAAGAGAAATATAATACTGAAACCTTTGTTGTTGTGCTCAAAGCAGGCTTTCTGATTGTGTGCTTGTGTGCATTCTCAGGTGGCAGTGGCTCAGGTAAAACAGATGGTCTTGGGAAGGTGGCCCTACCTCACATGACATCAGTGGAGAGTGACAGCTCTGATAGGCAAGTTAACCATTGTAATGTAATCTGATTTCAGACACATTAAATCTACTTAAATGTAACATTCAAATATGTGAATGTAAAACAAAGTATTCTCATTAGTAGTTCTGGATTATGGAGTCCTGTTGAAAGCATCAGCAGCCCTGGCTTCAGTTCCCTCAACTCTTTCTCTGCGTTTGGACCCAACAACCCACTCAACTTGTCTGGAGGTATGTGCAAAAAACAATCCAACAGAATAATTACAACTGGGTATCACAATAAAAAAATACCTTCACCACAGTAGTAGTAATATTTTGAGTAATTTTGCTTGTGCTTATTTTGTGTAGTGTTCAGTGGCATGGCTGCTGTGCCCAAGAGTTTAGAGCCTCAATCGAGCTGGCCTGAATACCCCTCTATGTCCTCCTCCATCTGGGACTCTGAACGATCAAGCCCTTGGCCTACCAGCACTGGCTCCCCTACCACTCCAACAGCTGTAAGACCCATTAAATCACCACACTAACAGTGACTACTTTTTTTAGTGTTGGATATTATGAGGCAAACTTTTGATTCGGGATCAGATTGGCATTTTAAAGTTGTAAGATTTATTCACCCAGTTTTTAATGGATCAGTATTTGACAGGCTGGCTTAATATGGCCGGCACAATACATGATGTGATGAACATGTCAGATATTGTGATGGAGATATGAGATGGGAAAGTTTCATTGTGTGTCTGATAGAATTTTAAAAGTGCAGGCCCTGAAAATAGATAATCTATTGTCTGTAATAAAATTAAACCATTTCCATCTGTTTAAAGGTTATTTGAAGGGCCCATATCCTGAAAAACCAACCTTTCCTTTTTTAAATCTAAATGTTTAATGTAATATGTAATATGGAACATTATTCAAACATACTGTTCACTCATCAGTGTGTGTGTATATGTATATATATATATATATATATATAATATATATATATATATATATATATATATATATATACACACACACTGATGAGTGAACAGTATGTTTGAATAATGTTCCATGTTACATTAAACATTTTATATATATATATATATATATATATATATATATATATATATATATATATATATATATAAACTAAGCTGCAAAACCAGCCTATTATGAATTCATTGCGTTTGTAATGTCACAAAAACCACTGTGCTATTTAGCAATATTTTGCACGTTCACATTGGTCAAAGAAACTGTGACAAACCAGTTAACATAATCAATGTAATAGACATGATCGGAATACTTTATTGATGGATATGGTTAGACTGTTAATGAATAAAGCAGCCATTGAAATTACTTCAGGTTGAGAAGATAAAGTTGGATATGATCAAAAACCAGGCTATTATTACCCATTTATCACAAAATATAAATTTATAATTGAACACACAGCCTATTTAGGTGCAGTTTCAATGGCAAATGTACAGCACATGCTTGCATAAGGGGAGAAATCACCTCACCTCAAGCCCACTGCTGTCCTGCGGCTGGTCTGAATAGGGTAATATTGATAAATATAAGAACCGACTGGAAGGTCACCAAAGAGTTGTTGAAGCAATTCTTTAGCCTTTTGCAGTGTTTATATTGTGGAGGTTTGTGTCGCAGTGATAGGCATGACACATTGCTTAGCACTTGTCCTTGAGACAGCATTTTATATCTAGATCCTGTATTAATAGTACATTTACCTAAGTTTTACAGGGCAGTATGATTTAGGCTTTTTTTCTTATCTCTAGTCCATTCTGGGGAAGTCTCGCAACCCTTGGTCCCCAAGCCTGCCCTTCAGCAGCTCTATCTGGTCTACGGGTGCTGACTCCACTCTGCACTCCTCCACCCTCACTGACCTGGTCAGCCACACAGCGCCGCCCACTCCAGCCCCAACTGACATAGGCCGCTCCTACTACCCGTGGAGCATGTGGCCTCCCCCACCGAGCCGCTGGAACTCAGAGCCCTGGCCCAACAACCCTGATGGCAACAATGGTAACTAAAGGAGACACACTGTCCCAAAAAATGGCCCGCTATAGCAACAAAACAACAAGAAATGCCATGATTTCTGTTCTTAGGATATGTTTCTTTTCTTCATTAAAGAGTTCTAGAAACACTGATATAATTTTATACATAAAATCCTTTGGAGAAATTGTCAGGTTAAATTGATTAAATTGTGAACTGGATTGTCCAGGTTTTCATTTAGTCCCGCTCCAAATTCAGGTTTCCACTAACAAAATTATTTTATTTTTTGAGGGGTGTGACGCATAAGCCTTATTTGAAGTAATTTTAACTGCAAAAACTCAATCATTAAAAGAATTAGGACACTGGCCTATTGGAATGATATTGCCCTTGTAGGGGTGTGTTTTTTTGTTTTCTTTTTATTGTTTTAAGAGTTCCCCCTTTTGCGTAATACTGCGTTTTTGTTTTTTTTTGTTTTTTTTTTGTTTTTTTTTTTATTTTGGAACTAAAGTATATGACCCAGTATTACTGTATGGTGAAAAGTGCAGTATTACCCAACTGTAAGTGAAGCACTTTGTGTTAAATCCCACTCTTAAAGAGAAATAGGCCCTGGTTTAAGAGTTGCATTCATTTTATAACCTGTTTGGCCAAACTTGCTGATTTCTGGGAACTCTGGGTACGATCATAGAAGATTCAGCAAGATGGTAATTATTGTGTTATCAGGACCACAAAAGTCTTTGCCCGCTGTTTTATGGTCAATGCCAAATCATAAGAGCATTCAGGATTTGAGGTTTAACTTATTTTTTTATTGGATTCTGATTAAAGGAAAAAGAAATATTATTTGCTAAAATTGGATTTTAATTTAAGGTCTAAGGGAGTTCAAAGTACTTGAAGTTTTGGAGTTTGTTCTGTACATCGTTCATTTGTCACCTTGAGTGAGACATCAGTCACATTGGTTAAAATAAACATATCAGGCTGCAATAACTACTGGATTCTGTTTTTATTTGTTCTCACAAAATCTGTTACTGTTGTGAAAGGTACCTGTAGCGTAATCAATTTAAAATGCCCTCATTCATAATCCCGAGTTTCGGTGAGACAATGCAGAAGTCAGCGATGACCCTTCATTTGTTTAACTTCCATTCGAAACAGCCATTAAGTACGAGTTGTTCATTTTTCAAGAGATATTTCTAAGGAGATTAGATATATATAAAGATAATCCACTTGCATGGAAAGTCAAATGAAAATAAGGGAGGAGGGACAGAATTATTAAGATTGGGACTCCTCACAATCATGTGAGACCCGGTAGATCACCAAAACAGTCACCTTCAGATAAATCTTTGAGATAAATAAGAGAAAATCAAGCTCCACTCTTGTTTGAGATTTGAAAACAATAAGTGTTTGACCATCCTTTGACTGTTAAAAGACAACACTATGAGTCTGAAAGGATGTGTAGCTATAAAGAATCTGTTACTGAGAAAAGGAAAAAAAACAAAAAAGAAGGAAATTTGCAGATCTGAGAACAATAGACTGTCCACCCCAGAGTCCAAACCCCAACATCAAAAGCTGTTCCTGAGAAAGAGGAATAGACAAAAAAAGAAGAAAATGAACTTTCAAATCAAATGTTCGAATGTTCTTAGAACAGTGGACTGACCACAGATCTCAACATCACTGAATGTGTTTGGGATTACTTGAATTGTAAGAAGCAGAAAATGCAACCAACTTCTAATACTGAACTTTGGAGGTGTGGAAAAAATATCCCTGCAGATTTTTTTGAAAAACTCAATAGCAAATCTTAAAATACATACTGGAAGCTGTAATAAAGGCAAAGGGTGGACACACTAAATACTGAAAAAAATGATATGTTTAGTTGTTGAAGTTTTAGTGTAATTCTCTCAAATAAATGTTACTCTTTTTGTGACACTGAAGAACTTGATTTTAACTGGAAAATTTAAAAAAAAAATGAATCGTGATCTCTGACTTTGCACAGTACTGTACATCAACAAGTTCATGTTACATGTGCAATCAACTAAATAATAGTTTTGTGTTTTTAAACTAATTAGTGCAGTCTTGGCATGTGATATTAATAATAATACTGTATTATACACATTTTAAGCTAAGTGATTCATGAAGTATTAACTGAAGTATAAGCTCATTTCTGTGGGCATCATATTGATATCGCTTTACTAAAAGCAAACTTATCAAGTAAACATCATGATCCATCAGATTGCAATTTCTGCCATATCATCATGTTTCAATCCAAGAAAGTACTGTTGAGTTTTGACACATGTTTGGCATTTAATCCTGAATAAAGGCCAGCACACATCACCTGATACAGTCTAAGGTCAGAATGATCTTTTACTGGCTTTGAAATGCAGAGTTCCAGAAATTAGTTCACAAGCCAAAATCTGATAAGGAAACTGATGTAATGACGTCAGTCTTGTACACATCTTGACCATTTGGGTGAAGAGAACAAATACTTTATTGTAGGATATTTAAAAGTGACAGCATGAAAGCAGAGTCCAAAGGATTGTCCTGGTGCTGAAGCATGGCTTTTCCAGCCTATGCTTATCATAGTAGAAGTGTTTTGGCATTTTATAATATGTGTTGTCATAGTGCATGATGCCTCAAAAATGTCATTGTTATGTTTAAGTTGAGGTCAAAAGAGGCTTGTCTAATGTGAGATATTTTTTAAATGCATCATTACAGACAAATAAGTGGATGAAAGTGGATTCATGTGAGTGGGCAGGTAGGCCACTGTCAGCATGTGAAGACATTTGAGGTAAATATGTAATGCTAACTTTTGGTAACAAAGATGATATCATTTAGTAGATCCCTGAATGTGTAGTAGTGTTGGAATGTAAAGAGGCTAACCAAAGGACCTTTTAAAGACCTTTGAAGACCACACCTGCCACAGACCCACTTAAATCCTGCAGTAACTCCTCATGGTAGCTGTAAAGAAGCCATGAGCATCGAGCTAAACTTGCTGAGATCACAGCTCTTCATCACAGACACACGGTGGCTCTTGTTCAGCTTGTTGCTGGGGTCCAGTGCCATGAACCCTCGGCACAGTTCTCCTTGGAGCTCCACACGAACGGCATACTCTGTCCTCTCTGTCACCACGGTACTGTCCACACATGCTGCCACAGCATATGCGTCATAGGGTACAAAGCCCGGCCCAAAAAATGCATCTTTCATCCCAATCCCAGGCTCCCTGGAGAAGGCCCAGCATTTAGAGGTGATCGCTTTCATAAACCGAGCAGCTGCGGTGTCCTGGTTGACCAACTTGTCAAAAAATTCCTAATGAAACAAAGTAAGTAAAGACATTCACATTTAATTGACAAACTCAAGTAGTATGTTTAGTACTGTGCAAAAGTCAGAGACCATCCTTTATTTCATTTGCAGTCAAAACAGCCAATATGCAAAAGTTATTCATTTTTCAGTGTCAGGGGGGACAGGCAGAAACCATATTTGATAGGAAATTAAACGGTACCATACCAGTATTTAAGTATTTTGGGTATCCACCCTTTCCATTATTACAGCTTCCATTCTTTTCAGGAGACTTTCATTTTTTAAAGGTGCAGTGTGTAAGATTTAGGGGGATTTATCAGCAAAAATGGAATATGTTGTACAAAAACATATTTCCATTAGTGTATCATACTTAATATTTAGCACAAGAAAAAACAAGGGAGGATGAATTCTCATTCTTAAAGAAGCAAAAACATGAATATGCAAAACGGAATTGGGACAGGTGATGGCAGAAAACCTGATGGCCACCGTAGGTTCTGCTACACACTTGGTGAGGGAGGGGTATTCAGTTGGTTGCAATCTGCAGCCTCACTGCTACATGCCACTAAATCTTGCACACTGCACCTTTTAAGGACATCTGCATGGATATTTTTCTACATCTCCATAGTTCAGTCTTAGAAGTTGGTTTCATTTTCTGTCTTTCACAATCCAAACACATTCCCAAAGACATTCATTGATGTTGAGATCTGTGGTCAGTCCATTGTTCTAAGAATATCAGCAGTGTCTTTAATTTCAAAATTAATTTTCTTCTTTTTTTTTTTTGTCTTATTATGTTTTTTTCAGTAATGGCTTCTTGACAGCTACACATCCTTTCAGGCTTATCGAAATGAATTGTCTCCTCACAGAGGAAGGATTGGTGGAAAAATCTGTTTTTTTTTTTTCAGATATTAAGCAAGAATGGAGCTTGATTTTCTCTCAAAGATGAAAAATCTAAGTACTGTTTATCTGATGGCGACAGTTCTGGTGGTCTGCCAGGTCCTGCATGCTTGTTAGTCCCAATTACTCTGTATCTTTTAAGAATTTTTTTTTTGTACTACAGTTTGTTCACTCTGTTTCCTTTGACTTTCACCTTCTTTATTCAAATGGATCCTATCTAGTTTCCTCAGAAATATATCTCTTGAAAAATGAATAACGTGCTTAATGGTTTTTTGGACTAGGAATCAAATGAATGGTGGTCTCCTGATTTAACACAGCACTGTATAACTTCTAATAACTTTCTTCCCCTATGCAACATTTTAAAAACCTGACTTTTGAAGCAGCTAAAGCAATTAAACCATTATAAAAGAGGGCAGTGTAGGGCACCTCATTAGTACTCAACTCACAGCAAGCAATTCAAACAAGGATATTGGTCCAGCTATGTGGTTTTTACCCAAGAGAGCTTGTTTCTACAGGTGAACTCCCAGGTTGCTACGTGTGTGGGGCACAGGTATTCCTCCAAGACTATGTAAGCAGACTCGGGATCCATGATGAAATTAAACTCTGCACATGGCGTCACATTTCCCTTGCCTGCAAAGGCAAACACTGGTTAAGCGGAAACCTGCTAATTAAAGCAGCTTTAAGGCTGTAATTTTCCTACCTTCCATATTGCCACCCATGATGTGCAAGTCCTTAAGCTTCTTAGGGATGCTGGGATCCAGCCTAACAGCCAGAGCTAAATTAGTGAGCGGACCCAGAGCCACAAGGGAGACCTTTTTCATGAATAGAGGCAATACATTGTGTCAAACACAAGAGGGCAGAAAAGTGTTGATACAAGCCAAGATGGAAACAAAAAGACAAAAAGAGAAAATTCACTGATAATGCAGGTTATCAGTCACACTGAATAACCAGTTTTCCTTACCTGCCCTTGGTGTTCATTCACCAGTCGGATTAGAGCATTAACTGCATGCTCTTTCTGTGTTTGCTTTTTCCAAACATCTGAGTCTCTGTCCTCCAGCACATCTCCCAACCCATCAGTCCCAAAATGATCTTTAAATGGTTTCAGAGCTCCAACCAAAGGGCCAGCAGACCCTCTGAAGACCGGAATCTAAAGAGATGTATGAACCCCCCCAAACTTACATTAATGACCACCCAGGAGACTAGAAATTAATTTCAGTTTCTGTGTGCATTATGCAATCTAACAGTCATCTATCATTTAGCTTATACCCTCACCACCCACTTCATTAGAAAAACCTCTACACATTGGCCACTTTATGAGCTTCACCTGCTTTATAAGTTCAGCATATAGGTGTATTATTGAAGAGTTTCATTCCAAAATGTTGAAATGATGATATATGATGATGATGATGATGATGTATAATGTAAAAAACACATTTTTATTTCTCTACTGAAGGTGGTAATATTCATAATATAGCATTGATATTATATGTGTAATGCCCACTCCCAACAATGTATATCATGGAGAAAAAATCTTGAAAGTGGTCTATAATGCGTTTTGTAACAAAATCTTTCAATTACAGACTGTAATCTTATCTGTTGCTGCACAGTTTGCCAACCACCCTTTACTGCTCATTTATCACTGGTCAGTTTCTGAACACATGACCTTGGTTGACCAGATATTATTTGTAAAGCTAGGCCTATCCCATTTATTACATAATCACCTGATCAAATTACAGTGGCGCAAAAAAGTATTTAGTCAGCCACTGATTGTGCAAGTTCTCCTACTTAGAAAGATGAGAGAG